TAGCAAAGGCAGTTACAGAAACATAATACAGGCTGGACTCTGGGCTTCAACATTTCCAAGAGCTGCAAGGGCTGAACATATGAAACTGCCATGACAGGCTGACTAGAGTAACCACACAAAACGTTTCCATGCCAACATACATTTACATCAGACTTAAAGATAGTCCACATGTATACTCTCTCTCTCTCTCTCACACACACACACAGAGGCAAGGGCTGTCACCTTTGGAGTTTTAGACAAGTACGAAAGGTAATTTGACCGAGGCAACACTCCCTATACTGAAACATAATTTTCAAGCAAAACAGAAAACATCCACTCAGGACAAAGTTTCCAGTGGAAGAGAAAGAGCTCTTGATGAAACAGTACTCAAGTCAAGGCGAAAGGAATCACGGAAGTCTGTGATTGGTCAGGAAGGATCATGTGATGATGACAGATGTGACCTATCAGGAGGACAGAAATGACTTGTAGCACACATTGGCAACACAAGGGAGCATGCTGGTCCCTGAATGAGCTGAAGAAATGAGCTTGGTTTTGTTATCATTTTGCTTTATCTTGCTTATGTCCACAGATCTTATATATGTATCCGTATCTCATTTTAATAGCAATCAAGCCCCCATGGCGCTTCCAAGGTGATGGGGTTCTCTCATTCAACCCTCTGCTGCGTCCCATCCAGCTTCCATGGCTGAATGCATTGTCAGTAAGAACAGCACAGAGGGATGCCTTTCTTATGAGCATTCAAGTTGGACAAAACAGTTCTGCTGTTCTCTCTGTAAGTAAAACTCTAAAGGAACCTCAGTGAGGAAGCAGAGAAAGCATGATACCACAAGAGGCATGACATCTCTTGCTGAACATTATGATCATGTGATAATTTCTGCCAGTGAGAAAGTGTCACAGAATGCCAGTTGTTTTGGCAAGAGTTGTACTAAATTCAGGTAAAATTCTGGCTGTTCAGAAATTTATAAACTTAGATGTGGGTTGTAGGATTTGAGGCTCTCACAGCGGTTGTTATGAAGCCTACTGTCTTCGATGTATGATGCCAAGTAGGTTGTTGGAAGTTAGCTTAACTTTCAATGGACTAAAAAAAGGTGAAGTTGTCCCTGTGCAAACTAATTAAGCACTACGCCATGAGGGCGTATGGGGGAGTGGATGTATAGATCCACATTTTCTTGACCTCATCACTAGTTAGAGGTGAGTGGTCAGCTTCATTGCCTGGGCGCTTTACCCTCAAGAAAAGTGCTTCTCCAGTTCCCATTGGGTAGGAGGCTTGGTGGGCCCCAAAGCCAGTCAGGCCCACATGGAGAAGAGAAAATTCTTGACCCTACTGACACTCGAACGCTGACCCCTTTGTCATCCAGCCCATAGCCAGTCGCTATATTGACTGCGCTATCCTGGTGTTATACCCCAGAAGATAATACTGTTCATTGGTGTGGATTATGATTTACTAATTTAAAGTTCACTAAGTATAGTACATTGATTGTTTTTTTTTTTTGGGTGGGGAGCAGAATATATACTTCTGAAATACAAATTTCACTAAGTGTGGGGACACTAAATGAGAATTTGCCTGTAAATACATGTAATACGTATGATCTGCAGCTTGTGAATGGACAGATCGAGTACAGCTATAATGGTGAGTCTATGACGCTGCCAAATGGGTTTGTTTCTGATGGCCATTGGCATCATATTGAGGTGAAATGGATGAGCGGGGAGCTGTGGATTAACCTTGATTATGGTCAGCGGGAAGTGACATCCCCAGCAACGAATAAACTTCAAGGATTATATGTTGGCAAGATCCTGATTGGTGGACCAGATGCTTCTGTGGGTAGTTTGAATGCAGATTACGGTTACTTCGAAGGATGTATACAGGTAAACAATGAATGTTGTTGCACCTTTGTTAAATGATATGCCTTGTGAATCCTGTGAAACCAAAAATTTGTGGCACTTTTATAATTTCATGTTTGTGAACTTATTTTTTGTTTTATTCTGATATGTTTAATCGCTGTAAAAAGTATAATGGAGAACTGGACTTTCTCAGATTCTACTTGTACTTTACATATTGAATATTATGAAATGGCTGGTATGGTGATAATCATTATTTATATCATAGATTCCAGAAACACTTTTTTTATTCATAATTTATGAATAATAGAATGTGCACAGTGCTTAAAGGTAAACATATATAAAAAGTGTGGTTATAATTGTCATCATCATCATCATTGTCATTGCAGTTTTCTTCATTGTCGTCATTATCATCGTCATTTTTGTCATCATCATATTCTCATTCTTCCTCCTCCCCTCCACATTTCTACTTGTATGTGATTCAAGCAACAACCAATACTCTGCATCCATCTCTGTCTTTCTAAAGCTGTTTCTCCTGTTTTCCCCTGTGTCCTTTCTGTGTGACATCTTTCCTTACCTCTTCTTCCTGTCTTGCTTATGGTTTTCCTCTGGATGTCATGATTCTTTGAAGGTCCAATGATCAGAACTAACTCTTTCTAACAGGCCCTACTGAATAGGATTCCACCCCCTTCTGATGAAGGAAGTGGTTCCAGTTTCTAGAATGCTGTGTATATGAGATTTACTATAAACAGATGACAATATCCAACAGTTGTTTGCAATTATCTGTCTAGAATTGTGAACAATCTAGCGTAATATTCATATAAACTGAATATGTTGTTAAAGTAGAGTGTCATGTCAGTTTCATAAAATTTCTGCGTTTCCATGTAGCAGTCCTCATAATGTATTTTGTCAACATCATGTTATAGTACATTAATATTTTGTCAGGATGTTCGTGTGGGAACTCCACAGTCAACGTTGCAGCGACCAACAGTGAAGGAGAATGTGGCTGAAGGCTGTGGTGGCATAGATCCGTGTAGGCAGCAGGGTCTAGAGAAATGTCCCATTCACAGCAAATGTGTCCCAGATTGGGAGCAGTATCATTGTGACTGTAATTCAGGTAATGAGCTCTGTGCTTTGAGTATAATATGCTTTAGAAAACTGGGCATACAAATGTAGTACCGTGAATGGTGCACATGTGGAAACTTAACTAATTGTGTTCAAAACCATTGGAGGTACAATATAAAATAAAATATTAATTTATTGAATGTGTTTTTCATTTTTCTCAATATGTGTTTTTGAAACCCGAAATTTTTTAGACACTATGTATTTAGATTATAATTTACTTCTTATTTTAACATAGAGTGTATGTCGGAGAAATGAGTCCTATCTAAAAATTAGATATGCCGTTAGTACGTGTGCAGACAATGGGCAGCTGGGAATATGGCCTTCCATATGACTTGCTAAAGAGTGATTCCCTAAATTAAGACTCATATATAGTTGGAGAAAACTGCATAAGGAGGATTAGATTGGCAGGGCATGTAGCATTGATGAGGGAGAAGAGGAATGCATTTAGGGTATTGGTGGGAAAGTCAGAAGGAAAGAGACCATTAGGAAGACCAAGATGTAGGTGGGTGGATAATACTGTCACGTGTATGGGTGACTGAAGATGGGGTTTGGATTGGTAATTGGATTAATTAACAGCCTACAGGTTGTAACTACAATTAATTATTACAGTATTGCTGATTTACACAAATTACAATCACTCCACACTGATATTCTCAGTCTCTCTGCACTAGCCCTCACAGATTTATAACACAGAACCTATAAAAGTCGCACTGAATCACACACTCCCAATATCTCTGTGCTACAGCACACATAATGTCTTCAAATCACATGTTAAATCTTCACAGGCTGACTTCTTGTACTCTTCTTCAGCTACGAACTTCCCATGGCTATCTCCTACCAACGCCTCCTTTATTGTTGCGTGTTGGACCATGTTTACACGGCTCTTGCCTGGCAATGCATTGATCATATCCATTAATAATATTAAAATGGTCTTAGATAGATAGGATGAGGTAGTATGGATTGGATTGAATTTGCTCAAGACAGGGACCAGTGGAGGGTTCTTTCAAACATGGTCATGAACAAGTTCTTGAGTATCTGCACAACTGGCAGCTTCTCAAAGAAGGGCTCAGCTAAGACTCATTGTGTCTAGATGGTACAAATGAATCCTATTTGAAGATTCTTGTGGGTGAAAAAATAGAAGGCCATTAGAAGTAGACCCTGTGGATGCTGGGGCACTCACAGTTTGCTCAGATGTGACCATGTGGCTGACTGCTAGCATGTTATGCACACAGCCACATGGTCACATGACAGGTTTCATTTGAACAGTTTTCATATATTTCTGTGCATGTGTTGTACTGACATGTGATGGTTTCTGTAGGTTATGTTGGTGCTTCATGTGTGGGCGTGTGTGAAGTTAACCCATGCTCTAATGGTGCCCACTGTGTGGAAAACCCTCTCAGTCAGCGAGGTTACAACTGTAAATGCAACTCCAGTGAATATTCAGGTACAGTTCATGACTGCAATTTCAACACTTTTGTTCTTGAACTTGCGTTTTTTACCTGTGTTGCTTATGTGATATTGAGTACCATAAGTGGAGGTACTTGAAAGAGCATTACTAACCCAGATTTGAGAGTCTCATGGAAGTGTCCTGTGGTACTGGGACTCTGTGTAGTGTGGTAGATAGGTAGTAACATTTCAGAGGAAGTGCCTGCTTCCATCTGAAGTGTAGAAGAGTGTTCTACCCTTAAGATGAAGGCAGCAGGTTCTGCTGAGACTCTTCTGCCCTGAAGATGGAGGCAGCTCTTTCCTCTGAAACTCCTCTACCCTGAAGATGGAGGCAGCAATTTCCTGAGCCTCCTCTACCCTGAAGATGGAGGCATCAGGTTCCTCCAAAATATTGTCTGTCTACCAAACTGTACAGAGTCATGTTCTAGAAGACCTTAACCTTGAATTGTTAAGTGCATGCAAGAGATGAAGGTAGGTCAAAGCGCTTGTTATGAGTTGAATTAGTACATTTGATGGGAAACCAAGAAATGTATACAGAATTTTGGTGGAGGAAGCTCTTGAAGATTTAGATGTGTAGTATTAAAATGTGTTGAATTTCAGGCTCTCATTTGCTGACTATGAAGAATTGAGTCATGTGGGTTGTAGTGGTGTGTAGTTTGGAGAGAAATCAATATTTCAGAGGAACATCTTTAGGGTCAAAAGTTAAGTAATGCAAAAAACTGGTAGGTGTAAGCAACAAGTTGAGGAACTGATATGCTCCTCAGGTATGTTGGGCTCTTTCTGAACTACATGGCCCTATACCCCAGAGTACTGTACTGTTAAGATTAACCTTTAAACGACTAAAGACAACGTATGTCGTCGTTAAAAGAATGTCCCCGGTACGAATGACGACATATGATGTCGCAGAGTCCGCGCGTGGCAACGTTATATAAAATTAAATTTTAAAGTAGAAAATTATGTCCTACTTACATAATTTTTGGCCACCATCTGCATGGAGTGTCTGTCTTCCCGCCTGCGTCATCTGCCGGAATGTTGCCTTCGTGTGGAATTCTCAAAAAAATCCGGAAATGCAGAGTCCGATTTCGCACTTCGCGAACTTTGTGCGGACGGTCTTTCGTTTCCCACGCGAAAAGCACACACGACACCTCAATTGCGAAGTATAGCAAGTCGGCCAGTGATGTGGTTTGGCCTTCTATAGTCGAGATATCTCCCATAAAACGGCAGGGGTTCGACCCCTGGCCGTTGATGGCGAGGGGGACCCCTAACAGCATGTTCCGCACAAGAGCGAGACGAAATTCTCTGTGTGACAACAGGATGTAACTGTTCAGACCAAGGAGATGGAGAAATAGCTTATTTGTCCATTTCCAGGTTCGACGACAGATGCTATAACTGTTTGCCACAGTTTGCCCACAGCTCCATCTGAATAATTATTCACACTCCTCGTGCCACGCTGGTGTCGTGCTCCCCAGGTTGCCGACGAAGATTATGGGTCTTCTTCGAAATCACTTTATGATTTGCTACCTTCAACGTCACTCTCAGAATTGTCGGTACAGGATTCTGTATCGGAGGCATTGATTAGCTGCAATATGTCAGAATATCCCAAACGACACGGACCACATGTTACGAACGAAATTTGAAATTACTCTCGACTGAACACGTCCAGCCACTAAGCTATTACGCTGTGTTAGTACGGCAACGACAACGCATGCATAAAGAATGCTAGCATGGAACTGTAGAAGAACAGTATACGTATTGTTCAGGAGAGATCTATAAACAACACGTGAGTTTATATCTCTCTTCCACTGACCACATTCAAGTTGACGCTCGTCACATAGACTGCGATAACGTCTCTAGACTCAACATCCGGTGTTACCGTGACATGCACAAGTGTCGTCATCAGCAACTTCCATTCAGGGGTGTCCAGAACGTATGAATTCTTGCTCAGAAACAAGAAATTGCGAAAATTCTCCTTTGGTGTCAGTGCAAAAATTTTAACATGTTTTATACAATCTGTAAATTACAATATCTGATTCTATATTCTTTCGAGAAAAAAACAGCGTTTATTTCGTTCGATTATCACAGAAATAGCAGAAATAGGAGCAAAATTAGTAAGTGACTACAATTTTCACGAATCTCAAATAGCGGCCATTTAAAGAACTCCGTACCGTTGCCACAACCTAAGTTTAAAGGGCCGTAGGATAAAGGTTAAAATACACAGTAAGAATGTTAATTAGATTATCCAACATAGTCTCTAGTGGTGGACTCTTATGTTAATCTTTTCCCCCTTCTATTTACATATTACATTACAAAAGGAATTGAATTAATATTTCAGGTGAATATTGTGAGGTTAAGGTGGATCAGCCATGTCCCAGCAGCTGGTGGGGCTATCCTGTGTGTGGCCCTTGCCATTGCGATGTTGAGAAAGGTTACAATGCTGACTGCAACAAGACTACAGGGGAATGCTATTGCAAGGTTAGTGCTGCTCCTAAACTCTGAAGCTGTCTTTAAGGTTTCTGATTGCATGGTTCCTTGACTATCTATCTGCCTGTCGACAGCCCCTTCTTTTGGACCTTGGCCGCTTTTCAGTTGCTTATTCTTTGGCCCAATCGGTAGGACCCCTTGGATGGGGGATCAGCCTTCGCAAGGCCAGTACCTGCACACACAGGACAGCACAAACATCTGTGCCTTGAGTCAAGAATTTTTTCCTCTCCCTGTCATCCAGACTGGCTCTGGGGCCTGCCCACTTCCTATCCGATTGGTACGGGGGGGGCTATTTCCCCTGGGCATAAATCGTCCCAATTTGAAGCTGACCACTCACCACACAACTAGTGCCGAGGTCAAGAAAATGTGGATCTCTACATCTACTCCCCCACACATCTTCATAGCATAGTGCTTAATTAGTTAAGCACAGGGAAAGCCTTACTTACTTTGTGTGGTTTTGTGAGGATTATTGAGGCTGCAAAAGGAGTTCCCAATAGGTCAGGTCACAGAAAGGGCAATTATGCTGAACACAGGTGCACTTGTAAGAGCGCTTTCACATGAGCTCTCATGAACTGGCTCACTAGAGCTGCAGCTACAAGAAGAACATTGTCTTAAGTGTCGCTTTTCACACACATCATCTGGCAGCCAACTCGAGCACACTACTGGCGGGGCATGCAGTCTTATTGAGCCTTTCAGACAAGCGCACATGAACTCCCCAATTAACAATGTCACTGCTATTCTCTCCACAGCAGGGATACAGCTCCTCTTGTGGGTGTCTCTCTGATGGAATGAAAACCTCAAACTGTTGTGTAATTCATCGAAAGAAGATATAGACATTCTGAAGTAATTAAAAAATTTTCTTTCATCCTCCCATAGCTTATGAAACAGAATATAAAAGCACCCTTCTTCTAATCTCGAGCTAATTATAAGGTGAACCCATATTGTTTGATTACTTTTCCTTTTCTTTTTCTTATTAATTGCTAGGATTAATAAAATTGCAGCTTCTTCTGCTTCAAGCATGACTACACTATGCACTAGACTGAACTGCTGTCATGCTTTCGGTGACTGCAGCGGCTCACATGAGCAACTGTTCGGAGTAGGCAGCTCAGCTGAGTGGCTCCCGTGCACTGGTTCATGAGAGCTTGGGTGAAAGCGCTCTAAATCACCAGTGCTTTTCCCCCCTCCCTCTTTTACCTCTGTTTCCTTGAAAAATTTGACCCTTTTTCAGATTACTGTAGCCCAGTGACTTCTTTAGTCTTTACCGGACTGCACTGTATCTCATCCCAGAAGATAGTAAGTAATCTTATGCCTCCATGAGAATTTCAAATATTACAGTTTCTATCCTGAAGATGGGGCTATTATGTTATCTGAAAAGTTGGTACCAACCTACCAAGCTATATGAGAGCATAACTTAGAAGACACCATACTAATTGTACATGTGATGTCTGTTCCTTGTACAGCAATTGCATTGGGCTGTGAAGGCAGCTGTCATATGTAACTAATATCTTTTTTTATTGCTACTGGGATGGGACTAAGTCCCTTGTACTGCAGCCACTTCTTGCCTATTGTACCAGCCCCAGATGATAGGTGAGGATGATTGTGCAGCACTTGGTGGAATGAAGATTGTCAGGGGAAACCGAAGTACTCGGAGGAAACCTGACCCAGCGCCACTTCGTCCACCACAAATCCCACTTGACCAGACCTGGGATCGAACCCAGGCCGCCATGGGAAGCCAGCAACTAACCACTTGAGCTATGGCACGGCCTACGTAACTAATATGCTGTTGTGCCTAATGTTTTATCTACATGATGGTGACAGCCCTCATTGGGGGTGTTTCAAAACTTATAGTAGGGAATGGAGTCCATGAAAAAAGGACAAGATATGCAGTACAGCTGGCTTTTGTAAAATAAATTAAGAATTGTGTGTTCTGCATTTTTTTTTCTGCAGGAGAACCACTTTCAGCCTTTAGATAATGACTATTGCTTTGACTGTGAATGCTATGCTACTGGATCATACGGCAACCAGTGTGACCCAATTACAGGACAGTGTCGCTGTCGGAATGGTGTGATTGGTCGGCGTTGCGATTCCTGCCCTAATGCATACGCTGAGGTTACACTTCGAGGTTGCGAAGGTGAGGTATCAATTTTCATGCCTTCCATCTTTGTTATTTCTGAAACTTATGGTCATGTTACCAGTTGAATTGCTCTTAACTTTTTTTTTTTTTTTTTTTTTTGTTTTTNTGTGTATGATGGCTGTCCTCGCAGTTTCTCACATGGCTTGTGGTGGGAACGGACATTGTTCGGAAAGATTGCTCTTGAATCGTGTCCAAGCCATTCTCAAGGCAAGGCATCAAGAGCATGTGATGAAGCACTGGGTGGCTGGCAGGAACCAGATCTGTTCAACTGTACCTCTGATCCTTTCCTAGATCTTCGTAAAGTTGTAAGTACTTGGTGTCTTGATACAGAAGACTGCAATAAGACAAGAAGAGGCACACAATTTAAGGTAGAACTGAGATGCTCAGAGCATCTGAGCATGCAACATGTGCTGAGGTATTGGGTTTTCGGACTTTATCCATCATCCTGGTTTTTTTAAGATAACTAAGACAAACACGATGTTTTGGAAACTGGATCTGTTTTCATTCTCAGGTGAGAGAAAAACGCCCATTCTGTTGGGTCCCTTAGAAAGAGCTAGCCTCAATCACTGACCCAACAGAATAGGTGTTTTTCCCTCACCTGAGGACGGAAACAGATCCAATTTCCGAAACGTGGTGTTTTTCTTAGTTATCTTAAAAAAAACCAGGACGATGGATAAAGTCCGAAAACCCAATATCTCTATGTGTTATACACCATCATCAGAATCCTATAGTAACTACATGCAATATGTGTGCTGACATTTAAACAGATTCATAGGGAGCAAGGGTGGTGGATGTATAGCAACATTTCATCTCTTAGGTATCCATGGTTGTCAGTATTACTGCTTGTATAATACAGTGCACTGTAGTGTAATAAAAATAGCCATTCACGCCAGAATATGTACTGGAGTTTTTAATTGGTAGAACTAATATATCTTGAATCCTCTAGAAGCATGTATGGGGACAAATTAATATACTCCATCTGTGTTTAACAAATAATTGTTCAAGGCTGATGGATCAACCTGTACATATTCAGGTTTTCTGCATTTATCAAATAATTGTTCGCATCTGTTTTTTGTGTGTAAGCACATCCACATTGTGTTGGAAAAGCCTTCATTGTATCATGATGGGTTACAGAAGTTTTATTGTATTGGTTTGTTCAGTCAAATAGAACTCTGCAGAAGGCCTTGCAAAATGACTGTTGAATGCTTTAAATGGAAGCAGAATTAAGCCATTGACAGATGGCATTTTGTTATAAATTCAATATTATAGAAATGTCTATTTCCAGATCTCATATTTTTGTGTGTGATTTATTAGCTTGGTCAACTTGAAAGCGGAGACCTTCATATAACAACATTTGTAGCAGTGAAAGTGGCCTCAGACCTGCGTAGAGCTACCAACTTAACCTCAATGCTGCATGGTGCTGATTTGTTAATATCACAAGAGCTTCTGAGGGAACTCATGAGATATGAGGGTGGAGAGAAGGGATTGAACCTTACACACAGTCAGGACAAGGATTACATCCAGGTAAAGCCAACAAAGTAGTGTAGTTCTGAAGTTTTACAGTTCCTGTGGAGAGAAGGGACTGAACCTTACACACAGTCGAGACAAGGATTACATTCAGGTAAAGCCAACAAAGTAGTGTAGTTCTGAAGTTTTACAGTTCCTGTGGAGAGAAGGGGCTGAACCTTACACACAGTCAGGACAAGGATTACATCCAGGTAAAGCCAACAAAGTAGTGTAGTTCTGAAGTTTTACAGTTTCTATGGAGAGAAATGTTTTACAGAATCAAGATAAATATTTAATCATAAGTAAGTAATTATTATCTTGATTCATGTTTTTTCTTCTTGGCACTACAGCCCAAGTGGGCCTAGGCCTACCTCCGTGAACTTCTCCGTTCACTTCGGTTTTTCTAGATCTTACATATTCTGTAGGACTCCCTGGGTGGGTGATCAGCTCATGGCAATGCCTCTACCTGTACACAAACACAGAAAAACGCACACACACAAACTAAACATCCATACCCTGAGTGGGATTCGAACCCATGATCCGGTTTCCAAGCGAGTGAAGACAGTACATGCCTTAGACTGCTTGGCTACCGTGACCGGCCTTGATTCATGTAGTGATCATAATTGTCCTTGTATGAGTACAGTATTTTCATTACCTTGAATAAGCCAAGCACCATTTTCAAGGTAACAAATAAATAAAAGTAACTGACTTTATTTAAGTAATGAAGTACAAATGTCAAGTATAAGTGTATGTAAACATACAGTGTCTCAAAGTTCAAGCACTGTGTTCTTCATTTATTTCTGCTACTACCATGTATTTTCTGCAATATGCAGTGGCGTGCATGAACATCTCAATTATGTTACTTTCTTATTATTAAAATGCTGCTTTCTCAAATCAGACATTAAATATTGTCAAATATCTGGAGTGACTAGAAACGGGATTTGGATTGATAATTGGACTTACTGAACACTTACAGATTGTAACTACATGTAATTATAGCGCTATCACTAATTCACACGCTGCAGTTCACTACAGCACATAATAAGTCTTCTCAGTGGGCTGTGTCTTCACCTGTCATTACCTGGTGATGGATGTCAACAATGTTCTCTGCTTCCATGCTCACAATCTTACCTTCTGGCAACTGTCCAACAGCTAACTTCTGCTTATACCATCTAGACACAGATCACACAGAGAACACCATTGTTCTGTTGCTGTTCAATTGTTGCTTAGTGGCCTGTGCAGATAACACCATTCCTCTGTTGTTTGTGGGCTGCTGCGTAGCAACAGCCACTTTACAATTGCCTGTCTTCTGGTCACTGCCTAGCAACAGTCTACACCACAATATATTAGATCAAGATAAATATATACTTGCAGTTATTCTCCTTTGTTGCTTGCTCATCACTGCCAGCTGGGCTTACACAGCCAGGATCACTGTGCCATAAGTAATTGCCCATTGTGCTGTCTCTGTCCAGTCTCCTGTGAAACTGCTACCAACATCTTGATTTCTGATTTCTTCTGCCTTTTGTTTTATTTTGTACTGACCACAAAAGATCAGACATGCGTGCTTTTATTACTCAAGCTTAGGAGAATGGCACAGTATCTTTCAGATTAATGTCAACCTATATGTTGCAGCTTCACATACATATTGTGACACATATACCCATTGCTAGGCAATGACTCAGTAAACACATCCCGAAGCCTACACACTCAACAATAGAAGGACATTCGTTACTAGGCAAGAGACCAATAAACACGCATTCTTGACAGCAAAACACACTATTGTCTGTGGGGTCCATGCCGAGGAGTTATAAGAGGGCACAATCAGAAGATGGGGCATAGTACAATGGAGTAGTGGAGTAATGAAAAGTGGTCAGAAGTTGAGAGCGTCAAGTTGAAGAAGTTGACAGTGTGTCAGATAGTGATTTATGAAATGTTGTAACCAGTTGCATAAAAGCCAAAGAAATACAATCATCAAATCCTAAACCTGTTTTATAAGTCACGCAAACACCTCATATGTGACAATACATTCAAAAGGAAGGAGTAGTTGTGAAAGTTAAAGATGGTGCTCGGAATGAATAGTGTTACCACCTTTATCATGATTAAGCTGCACACACCAATTTTGGTCTCTCTCTCTTAAAAAGAGCACTGTTTTTGGAGGTAATGTGGTATTACATGTCTAGTAGAGTCAGGGTGTAGGCTGTACCAGCTACCCTGTTCAGTCATATATTGTACTATATATAAAAGATTGCGTTGAAGTTTGGTTTGATTTTGTGTTCATTGTTTTGCAGAACATTGTTCGAACTGCCAGCACTATTCTAGATACAAAGTACAGGGATCACTGGAACAGAGTTACTGATCTGACAGGAGAAACAGCTGAAGATCTGGTGTTGTCATTTGACCGATACATTTCAACACTTGCCCTGAGCCAGGAAGATACATACACCAGTCCCTTTGAAGTTGTTGCAGACAACATGGGTGAGACCAACTTTAAAAATTGCAATTTAAAGGTTTCAGATATTTTGTAATTTCTCTTTTTGTGCTTCTGTATGGTTCAGGTTTCAGATTTGGGCCATTCGTGTCCTGATGATGATGTTCCGACATGTAGCCGTGAGCTGTCGATGTAACATTGCAGATGCTGTGTAGATTATAACATTTGTTTATTTAATTATCTCATTAAACTGAAAGTCAGGAGGATGATCCAGTCCAGTCAATTTTAATTTTCAAATTAAAAATGAACATCATTCAAAATAAAATTCATGTTACTGGTGGAAATTACAGAATCAAATATGGGTGCCAAAATTTATGGAAATGGGTATGTAGTGGAAACATTGCTTTTAATCAGAATAATCTTGTTGAGAAAGTGCAAATGCGTGTATATATGGAAATTTGAAAATTCTGTTCATGTGTGGGTTGGTTGATTGGGGGAAGGGGTGTGGATGAAGTAAATATGTTAGAATTATGGGAAATCATCTTCACTGAAAGCAAATTGTGTAGGTGGTGAGAAAGTACAAACCCAGGTTGTGTACATTCAGGTGTTTTTGTATATATATATAATATGTACTTTAGTACATACAGTTGTATAAGGTTGTAACAAAAGGAAAACAGAGGATTTGTTTCTTCTCTTTCTGTTTATAAGTTAGTTCTTCTACCAGAAATATGTGATACATGTAACGTGAGGTTGCTGTAATGGTTGAAACTGTTTTAGGGCTTCAGGGACATTGTCCACTGGGGTAAAGCAACAGGAGCCTAATGCTCGTTAGTCACGTTGCCTGATCCTGAAGTCTAGAATACATGGATATGGTTGTTCATTGCCAAGTAACAGCCTACAGAACAGGTATCTCTGCACCATTCGAAATTTTCCAAGGTGCACACTGGTCCGCAACTTGCACAAGGCTTTCAACCTTCCATGTGTACATGATTATATAACAAAATTGTGCAGGCAACAAGGAGAAGTCTTACAAAATCATGAGAATGAACATGTTTATAGTATAGGACAAGGCGAAGCCAGACATAGAAAATGTAAGAGGCTTAAACTTGGCAGTGGTCAAGCTTACAACCAATCAAGTGACTAAGCTGCCACTGTGGCATAAGATACATAAGACAGGCATGATCTGCTCTGCGGTAAACCTCCAGCCATAAAATAACTTTGACTTTGACTTTGAATTGTGGTTAATACCTGCATGGAGGTGGGTTTCAATACCTTCACCATAGCCCTGCATGCTGTAAGAGGACATGAAAAGGGAACCCAATGACTTGGGGTATGACTGGGCCACCCTGTTCCTAGGGGATATAAATACAGGGACCTGGCCCTCCAGGTCTCTCATTAGAGAGGATATTATATAAGGACTCTGACCGCAAGGATTCAACTGAAGAAGAAACAATTTATGGCATGAGTCTCAGGGACTTGGCACCAAGATGAACTGATTGGCGGTAAATCACCAATCATAAAACAACTCTGACTGTGACTGCGTTGCAGTTGTGAGTAGTTAGAAGCTGGTAGCTGAGGCTTGGGACAGTTCAGGAACCCAGAGGAAGGTGAACATCCTCTGTTGGAAGTCATTTCCAAGCAGTGGCTAGTTAAGACTGAGGAGAGTTTATGTGTGCTACAGTTACAGTGATCTTTGGAGCATGTAACTCAATGAGACTGTCATAGTTATTTGTAGTTATGAGTTGTTTAAGAGTTCAGTAAATCCGGTTACCAATCCAGACCTTGTCTCTAGTCATACTTCCCATGTGACTATATGACCCATATTTGTGGTGTAGTACTTGTCTTAGAATGCTGAATCATTCGCTTTATTTGAATACAGATTAAGATGAGGCAGTGCTGTCTGATGTGAGTGGTGGCATGAAGGCTCAGCAGTTGTGCTCGTGAAAAGTGATTTATTTTGTCATGTTTGCAGTACTGGGTCTTGATGTTGTGACATCTGAGAGTTTATTTGGTTATGAGTCAACCAACAAAGATGCCTTGGCTGTAGTAGCTGCAGCTGACGTCTCTGGGGAGCGAATTGTATTGCCTGATACTTCCCAGTTTCTCCAGCCTTCTATCCATGTGAGTGCAAGAAAAGACTTTTCCAGTATTTCTGCTCCCCTGTTCAGATGTTTGTAAATAATGCGGTGCTGGTTAACTTGTATGTTATACATTCTCGTAATAATTAACGGTTTCTTTACTTGCAGCTCTCTGCTCCTGCAGCATTAGCAGTTGGATCAAAACCATTCACTGGTGCACATAAGAACAGCCCGATGCTTTTATTCCCAAAATATAACAATTATCTGCTTGATAGAGACAAGTTTGATGTCAGCTCGAAAGTTCTCGTCCCTTTGCATCTCTTGGGTATCAAGTCCTTGCAACAAGGTAAGGCATTTTACAGTGAAACCGGGATTTTACACTTTTAAAGATGAGTTAAAGCTATCCCTGTAACAGGCGATGAAGTCCATAGCGTTGTGAGGCATCGAGGCTCCCACATCTTGTACACATTTGGCTCACAGATGATAGTAAGTTTGTCAGCTGTCCATTAGCCCCAGGAAGATTCCTGGTACTCGTTTCTGTTAGAGGATGAGTTGACCCCAGGGCCATAGTGTGGCTGGAAGGATTAGTTAAACTGAAAAAAATCCAATGACATCAGGGGGTTGAACTCACGACCTTCTGGCTTGTAGCATAATGCCTGAACAAACTACGCTACTGCATGTCCCCTCACTCTTTGACAGGTACCACCAAAAATAATGGGAAATGAAAATTGAAACAACATACAGAAAAATATGAAATGCTTTGCACCATAAATTTGATAAGCCTTATAAAATATACATGTTTCAGTGCACTTGAGCTCTCAGTCTGTATGTATATATCTCTCTGTTATGTGAGATTCAGAAACTTACATATGAAAAGACAAGCCTGTTTACTAGCGTAAATCTTGAATGTGAATAGTATTATGCCAGTGTGTCTTAGAATTTTTTGAAACAGAATGTATAATCATGTAAATTTCTGTCATCAGGACCCAGAGGATGAAGTGAAAATTTGGGTGAATGTAAAATTGGTTAAAATTTAGTATTGTTCTTATGGATATTTGGCTGGAGCAAAATAAAAAGTGTGTAAAATCATGAAGATAATAAATGCAAAATTGTGAACTTACTGTAAATAATTATGATGAAATAATTTATTTACATAAGTAGCTCAAGAAACCTACACAAAAATAAATACAGTTACATTGGCAGTAATATCAAATTAGTTGATAATGATTTCCAGCTGAAAAGAAGTTTGAATGTCGACTGTTTTTTCAGTAATAGTTGTACTGATTTGAGGGATGTGAGTTCTTGAAGGTTGAAGACATCTTGCACTAAATGTGGGTTATTTACAAAATAAAAAATCACTGAATACTTTGGGAAAATAGTATATTGTTTCCATTGGGCTTGATCAGTACTATACAAAGTATCACTATATATGGGATTTCACTAAAGGCAAGACACTGAATTTGAATTTCGCTGTTTATTTAGTTTCTTCTCTTAAAATTTAATTGTTGATTATTCTAGTTTCTGTCATCAACATTTCAGGTGAACTTACAACAAAGCACAGTTTACAAGGCAGTGGTAGAGCTGTTATTAGTTATGCTCAGTATAGAACAGCCGGTTCTCTCCTACCTGCACGTTATGATGAGACTGTCAGCCGACGTTGGGGCATTGAACTTCATGTTGGATCACCAATCATATCCTTAGCAATTCTTGTACCAGTTAGCGAGGGAGAAGTTGGGGAAGGTAATGTATGAATATTTAGATTGATTAACTTAAATGCAAACCCCTATTTGTGGTTTCTTTGGGGACCAGGGGATTTGAAGAGTAAACTGAGGAAAGTCTTAAATGAGATGAAATTTAAAGCTGAGAATAATGTTGTGGTGTCATTAATATCACTTGTAATTTACCATCTATACTTATCACAATAGTTTATTTATAATTGTCAGCCATTTTTAGATTGTGGTTTATATGCCACTGCCCCTTGTATGATTTAAAATACATTCTGTACTCCTCCCTTTTTCCTTTATTTAGTGTTAGGTTGAGAAGTGTGTTGTTTTGATTGGTATGTTGTTCATTTATGGTTTATTGCATATTAACTCTTTAAACATGATTTCTTCTAAATAATATGTAAAAATGCAGTTTGTACCTCAGAAGAAGCACATTTCTTCTCCTCTACAAAGCTCAACTGGTTAATGCTGTTTAAGGAAACAGTTGCTGTTTTTTGTGAGAACCATACAGAACACACAAATACACTGTGTGGGCAGAATGCAGAGTTGTGTAATATATACAAATTCAGTCCATACCTCACAGGAAACACATTACGTCTCTGCTACAAAGCCCAATACGTTAATGCTGTTTATAGAGACAGTCACTGTTTATTGTGAGAATCATATGGAACACACAAATACACTGTGTGGGCAGAATGCAGAGTTCAGTGCGTACCTCACAGGAAACACATTACGTCTCTGCTACAAAGCCCAATCAGTTAATGCTGTTTGGGGAAACAGTTGCTGTTTACTGTGAGAACCATATGGAACACACAAACACGCTCTGTGAGCAGAATGCAGAGATTTAGTATGTTAAAACAGGTGGTACATATAGTGACCACTGGGTTTGAAAGGGTTAAATGAGAGAGAACTCTAAAATGAGGACATTAAGGGGGGTTTCACTGTATCTGGTTTCCTGAAGCAATTCACATTGTAGTGCTTTTTAATTAGCTCGGAAGAAGTACAAGCTCATAACAGACGCTGGTCCTCTGCCTGCACCAGTCTTGTTGCGCCTGTGGTTACATAGTGATCTCCAGCCACTGTCACCAAGATCCAATCCTCAGTGCGTTCATTGGAGCACTGCCAGGGGGTATGTACATGGCCTTCAAAGTTATATGTTACTTACCTTACATTCTTGATTATCCATATATGGATGGCCCAGGTTGTTTATCCATGCACCTTTTATAAGTCTCGTTCACAACCTATTAAGTTCACTCAGTCCATCTGTCTTTGCATGTCTGGCTGGCTCTACATGTGAAACAGCTCAAGAACTGCTTTACAGGTTTTCTTGAAAAATTACACTGAAGAATTGTGTTAAGAAAATTGTCCAGTCATTTTAATTTTCATTTAGTTTGGACAGTTTTAACAACACTTTCCATGAAGACATTTTTCCATATTACTTGAGTGTAATTGCTTCTAACATAAGTTGTAGAGAAAAATGAAACACGTGCTTTATGTTCAGTACTCTTTTGCTCTGTATCTTGAGGTCTGTAAGGTAATTAAAGAAATCAGACGTGTATGTCTCACAATTTTGATGAAGTGTCTTGGATCAGCTGTTCATATTATTGCTTATGTTTTTCTTTTCCCCTTTATCACATGCAGTTCAGAGTGTAAGATTGCATTCATCTAGGCTATGATATCTTGCACTGGTTACCAGTGTTTCAGGAGAACCTGCTGTCTCTATTTTCTTGGTAGAAGATGACAGAAGCTTCCACAGAAACACCAGTAACCTTCTGTGAGGCTACGTGTTATCATAACCTATAAGGCTACAGTCTGGATATAACCATATTTAATACACTTAAAATAAATTCCATAATAAAGTGGCATGTTATTGGCAGTTTTGGAGAGTGGTCTCGAGCGGGGTGTCAGACAGAAGTAGCTGATGATTGGCATGTTTCCGTCACAAAGCCATTCCTAGTCAACTGTACGTGCAACCATCTATCTACGTTTGCCATTTTGATCGATTTGGTTGACATGCAGGTATGTAATTCAGTTCAGAATTATAGGAATTTCTTGTAATTATTAAAGAGATGTTGATAAGAACATTACCTTCACATGGGTTTTGTAGTTTTCACAGTGGTTTTAATTCATGTTGCGGTCTTCTGAGTTATGACATTGGTGTAAACGCTGTATGTTCTGAGCTACTGACAGCATGATTAAATGAACTTCAATTACCTAATGAGTCAATGTAGTCTCATTATATCAGAGGAACATATTGCCTCCATCTTCAGGTTAAAAATGAGGACTGAGACCAGATTTCATTTGAATCTTTGTAAGTTTAGTAGTGCTAAAGTGTAGTCCATCAAACTTATCTCACTGAAGGTATTTTAAATTATATTATTTATTTTTGTGCAGTATATTGATGAATGTTGCTAGTAACTCGTATTAAGTAGCACTGAATAACTGCTTGATAATGAATAATTAATTGGAGAGGATAATGAAGGTAGTGACCTGTCATTTTCCTCAAGAAACTGAGGAAAACCACAAGTAACCTCATTCTAGATGTAAATATTATATCTTAGCATCATACTATTTGTGTGAAATTTCTTTATTTTCTTCCATCACCACAATAGTTAGTATGGACACACCATGCATTTGTCTTACAATGTTTCAGCTCATTAAACCATAACCAGGTATTTGACTTTTTGTCATTCATCTGTATTCATCTGCTAGTGTTCCTACATTGGCCAGTGTTTACATATTGGAATACTGGTTTTCAGTAGTATGTAATGCCATTATGCCGTTATGTATATAAAGGCGTGTTTAGCTCTAAGAATAAATATTAAGTGTTAAAATGTTGAATCATTAAAATTATTAAAACTAAACTTACGTGTAAGTTTTCCTTATGCTTTATCTGGATGTAGTAGTTGTGTGTAGATGCATTTCTTCTACCAGTGTATTTCTTTTGGGTTCTCCCTGGTCTTGTGTTGTAATTTGTGTTTTTTGTTGGATTGTAGATCTAGGATTGCATTTTCTCCTTGTTTTGCATTCCTTATATTTGGGAGAAATGTTGTTTCCTATACTTACAAGCCAATGAAAGACACACTACATCAGCATAAGATCAGGAAGAATGCCAAAAAACCACATCAATAGAAGAGACACATCTACACACAGCTCACTCTAGATGGTTCGTGTCTCAGCCTGAATTTGAACTGGGTTCTTCTGTAATAGATGTCAGAAGCATTACCATGTGAACCAACTTGTTCAGCCATGCATTGCATTAATAAGAACTGCATGTAGCTGTATGGGATATTGTAGTAGGCTTTTGCCTTGGTGGTGATGAACTTTCATATTCATAATACCAGCAAATACATGACAGTTTATGATACATAATCGGTTGTTGGGCATGTTTATCACTGAAAGTAAGTGCTGGAACGGTTACCCCTTTTCTTTTCTGTTTGGCAGTATATTCCCGATCCAAGTGTACCAGAAGACATTGCGACCTATGGAGCATTTTGCCTGGCACTCCCAATGCTGTTAGTGGCTCTGCTCATTCTTGTTCTGATACGTGGTGTAGAGACAAACTCTAACTCAATACATAAGAATGTGGTGGCTTGTGTGTTTCTGGCTGAATTGGTGTTCTTCATAGCACTGAAGGCGAGGAAGACACTGGTGCAGCATGAGGTGAGTCATGGATTTGGTAGGACCTGTATTGTGGTCAAGGTACTGGAGCCATCAGCACAGAAACAAAGTAAATTAAATTTTAATAAAATCAGTTGAAATCAGTAAAAATATATAAATGGTTTAATCAGTTTTATTGTCTAAGTTAACCACTACATGTTTCGGTCACGTGGACCGTCATCAAATGATTTGTAAATAGATAAAAAGAATACATTATTATTGAATTTCGGAGCTAAATGTATTGATTTTTACAATGAAAAAGTCATGATAAATTCTTGTATTAAAGGGTAAAATATATGAAGTATTGCAGTTTCAAGAGTTTAGTATTTTATATTACAATATTATGTTATAGCATCCTGTTGCTCTTTTCACTTAGTGTCTATTGTTCACAGTGCTATGTGCAACGTCACGTCCCACAGAACTTATTCCCTTTTACCTTTTGTGTTTTGCTGCATGTCTTGTTCCTGACAGCAGCAAAACACAGCAAGGAAAGAACACAACCTAGCAACTCCAGCACACAAGCACATCAAAGGAACCTGCATATATATTAACAGAAGACAGCCGTTTCCTCATCTAAAAATGTTAACATTTGATGATGGCCATATTGGCTGAAACATGTAGTGTTTTAAAATTTTAAAGTTAATAAGTTCTGTGGAATGTGGTGATGCACATAAGACTGTGAATAATAGATGCTACATTCTATATTACTGCTGAATCTATTGACTTCTGGAAGCCAGTTCCAGAATAAATAATAAGCAATAGAATTGGTTAAACCATTGATATATTTATTTGATCTTAATAGGTTTTATTAAAATTTAATTTACTTTGTTGTGTTGGTAGCTCCCATATCTTGATTTCGTAATAGTGTGACGTATTTGCACTATGCAGGACACCCCTGCCGGTCAGCGCCCCGCCCCCTCCCCCGCGGTGACATAGGGGGGGATGCCGCGGTTGCTATGTAGCAGTAAACAACTCTCGACAGCGTTGCCCAGCAACACCTGTAAACATGGCGACTAAGCAACAAGGAAGCGAGGCGTTTTCTGTTGTCTGATTGAGGGTTTATAAGAGAACCACACTGCCTAATGAGTCAGTTAAAATGCAGCAGCCACCAAAGACAGTTAAAATGTAGCAGCCGCCGAAGTCAATTAAAATGCAGCAGCCGCTGAAGACAGTTAAAGTGTAGCAGCCACCGAAGACAGTTGAAATATAGCAGCAGTCACGGGAAGAAAACCCGAATGCATGATTAGAAGATTTGACATGATAATTTGTGATACTGCTGATGGCAGTAATTGTGAGATTGTAAATTGTGTGATTGTAAGAGCGAGTGTTCAATAAATTCGCTATATCCAATATGACGTGAAGTTACTTGTCGCATGACACATACCCAACACATAACAATATAATGGGATGAACAAAATAGAAGTAGGTCCATGATTTATTTTATCCGTCTTCTAGTGCATACATTCATCTATCCCCTCTTCTCACTCGCACTACATGTTTCGGCACAAAAGTGCCATCTTCAGGTGCTGATCCAATCCACGTCAAACCAGTTCATTGCATGCCTTGTCTATACATACTAAAATAACTAAAATATATATTTATCTTATATACTGATAAATGTTAAGTGTTAAGTGTTAATGATAACTCACTCAAAACGAAGACAGCACACACACACATACCCAGCAGGTCCAGCAGTATAACACACGCAGTCACAGGAGCAAGACGCAACACAGAGCACAATACGCGATAGTGAAAGAGTGCTCCAACAGGAGATGATAAACATGACTCGCGTAATGAAACACGACGTAGGAATGAAATACAGTAAAACTTGGTTATAGCAACATCGGTTTCTGCGACACCTTGTCTATTGCGTCAAATATTCAATGGTACGAACTAATTCCTCATAAAGCAACTGTTTTTATACCTTGCTTAGTACGACATGCACAAATGCATCAACCTCGTATGTAACGTCATTTTCATTCCTGAATTTCTCTGATATGGACATTGAACGTAATTTAGAAAGTGTGTATTGGGCAAGTAACAGGAAACAGATGAAGATAACTGATTACTGTACTCGTATCTAGGTACAGTAAGGCACAACAATTGATGTAATCTACTGTAATTTGGTGAGTAGGCCTACCTTTAATATACAGTATTAGTGCGGTGTGTATTGTCAGTGAAAAGCGCTGTAATATGTCTTTGATATTACACATTTGGGCAATTCCACGTTAATGTTACGTTAGTCTGTACTTAACTACGTATTTCACTAAAAAATGCAACATTTTAACTCGGTTTTTGGTAGATTTTTACGTGACTAACATAAGGCTACTGTGGAAGTGCCCATTTCGGTTACAACGACATTCGTTTATAACGACACTATTTTTAGGTCCCTTTGATGACGTTATAACCAAGTTCTACTGTATCCTGTACAATTTTAATATGTTAACACTTAACATTTATCAGTATATAAGATAAATATATATTTTAGTTATTTTAGTATGTATAGACAAGGCATGCAATGAACTGGTTTGACGTGGATTGGATCAGCACCTGAAGATGGCACTTTTGTGCCGAAACATGTAGTGCGAGTGAGAAGAGGGGATAGATGAATGTATGCACTAGAAGACGGATAAAATAAATCATGGACTTAATTCAGTGCAACAGGACGCTAAAATATAACATTATTAAAAATAGAAGTAATTGTGCATGCAGAGTGTAACTAGCATAAAATAGAATGGCATTTTTATCACTTATTTGCACATTTATTTATTTATATCTTATTTAATGATGCTATAAATAATTTGGACTGCGTATTGGTGAACGATCAAATGATGGTGAATAATGCATTTGAAATTATGTGGAAAGAAATGATTGTGGCATGTATATACATGAAAAATATCAGAATAGTTGGTGGCTTGACCAAGATTCAAATCAGGCACTTCCTCACATGTAAACTCTGCCTAAAATATCTTTGAGGGCATGTTATCGTTGTATAGTGACACAGATCATTATGTCATCATTAGAAAGGTGCTGGATGTTAACCAGCATTGCCATACTGGAGATCTCGATGAACCCACAGAACTTCTCTTCTGTAAGGTTGACTACATGAGAGCTGGGGTGGCTCAGTTGGTATAGTGACAGGCTACAAGTATGATAGCTGGGATTCACTTCCTGGCAGGAGCAAGAGAGTTTTCTCGTCTTCACAGCATCCAGACTGGCTCTGGAGCCTGCCCAGCCTCCTGTCTAATGGACACTGGGGCTCTTTCCTGGGGGGGGGGAGTAAGGCAGCTGGACTGTGAAGCTGACCACTCATCTTCACCTAGAGCCAAGGTCCCCATATGTTCTTCATGATGTATTGCTTAATTAATTAAGCACAGGGACAACTTTACCTTCAAGGTTGTGTACTCAGGGTGTAATGTACTCTTACAGATGTTTTTAGACAAAGTATAACATTAGGTCTGAACTACAGTTTTTCCATGATATATGTTTACAGAATTCTACATTTCTTAATGGTGAGAGAAAGGAAAAGAATGGAGAAATTTGCGCTGGGTCTAGTTAGCCTCGAATTGAAGACCTTAAGCAGAGAGGTTCTGTGCCTTGATCAGGGATCAAGCAGCCCCCATAAATGCAAAATATGAACATTTCACCTCCCTTTTGTTGTGTGCACAGTTTCCTTGCAAGATGTCTGCCATGTGTCTGCATTACCTGTGGCTCACAGCCTTTACATGGACTCTCGTGGACTCTGTACATCTATATCGCATGCTCACAGAGATGCGAGATATCAACCATGGTCCAATGAGATTTTATTATACAATGGGCTATGGGCTACCTGCTGTGGTTGTTGGTCTGTCAGTTGGTGTTCGTGCAGACCAATATGGAAACTTCTACTTGTAAGTCTTTCATAATATTTTATTGATATACATGGACAGGCCGGTCATGGTAACCAAGCGGTCTGAGACATGTACTGTCTTCACTCGCTTGGAAGCGAGGATTGTGGGTTTGAATCCCAAACTAGACATGGATGTTTGGTGTGTGTATTTGTTTATTCTGTGTTTGCATTGTCCTGTGTTTAGGTAGAGGCCTTGTAAAGAGCTGATCACCCATCCAAGGAGTACTACCGTCTGTAAAAAATGATCAATGAAACTGAGAAATCACCCCTATGCTCCAAAGTTGGAGTGAGAAGAAGAAGAAAAAATACATGGATAGACTTTACATAACTGTTTTGATTTGAACCTGATTATCTTGTACCCACTTACATTGCATTAGGGGCCTACCACCCCCTGACTGCTGTTGCACCTAACTTTTTCAAGATTTCTGTACAGTATTTTCAAATAGCAGAAAACTGAATAAGAGATAATTTGAATATGAGGATTATTATATTCTTAAATTGTTACATCAAATGAACACTTTAATTTATATTTATATGAGGGAAAGTCAGTAAATACATCACAAATGGATATGAAATGTAAAATATGTGATATTTAAACCTGGAAAAACATTTGTTTCTCGACAAATCCTCTGCCAACATTGGTACACTTGTCCCATCGCTTTACCAGCGCATCAAAACCCACAGCAAAGAAGTCTTTTGACTCTTTGTCATCAGCAAAACATTTGCCACCAAGATGAAACCATTTTATGTGACAAACACTTCCCATCATAAACAGGAAACATTTCTTTATGAATATCCTTTACATTGAGTCCTTTTGTCCACAAAAAATCGCATAACAGAACACTCTTCTTTGGTAGTACAACCTCAAGCACAGTTGCTATTTTGACTACTGAAAAAAGCCTCCGAACATGAGCATTTGCATCAGCTATCTAGAATTCTTCATTGTGGAAAAAAAAATATTGTAAATACAAAAAAGGCCTAGACAATGCCCACCCGGCCTTCTATAGCACATTCTTCTATAAATCTTGTTCTATTACAGCAGTCTCCCCGCGATTCTTAATATAGATCTTAACTTAAATCTGAGAGTATACTGTTAATAATTTGTACAATTACTTCTTTTACTTTTCTTACATATTTTTTTATATAAATATAGGAATGTTGTTTATGAAGTCACAGACACCTTGCAGAAATCTTTTTTCTTCTAGCTTTAAGAGCTCTGTAACTGACTTTGGGTATTCTTTTTGCGCTCCTCAGACGGAATGTCCATCATTGTTGCCCTTTGGTCCTCGTACTGTTTACACTTTCTGCTTCATCAAGCCAGGTCTCTGATAGCATTATGACATCTACGTTTTGGCTCCTCTGTTGGAATTTGTGGAGTGATACACATATAAAACCTTTTTATGTCCATTACAGTTGTTTTACTTCCATTTGTACCTGTGTACAGATTCCCCCTCCTATATTGTTGTGATTACAGTGAAACCTCGATTCATCATTTTCGTCAGGGGTCCTGAAAAAAAAACGATAGATGCGGGGCCTATATAAAATGAATGAAAACGGTCACATTTGCCTATATATATTAACTAAATCAAAAAACGTAAACCAGTGATAATATTTCCACTGTCAAGCCCAATTTGCATTACTACTTTTTAAAAAAGTCATTAATTTTCATTTGTTTAGTAACATCTTTCCTTTTCAAGCTGAATAATAATCTTTCAATATTAACAGTGTTCACTTGGTCTCTTTCGGTGATGTGAGCATATATGAACGCTCTAAAATGCATGAAGTGCTTCCGTAAAACTGGGCACTGGTTCGGACTCGGCTTAATCGTCACCACCACCATCACCATCACCTTGCCCTTCCTCCACGCAACTTCCACTTCCCTCCGCACCACACGTTTCTTCAACACACAGCACACCATATGTCGCGAGCTCTTGGTCCACAGACACGTAGGCATCAAAGTCCACGCCGGTGGTGCTTGCCCCCAGCCGAACCCAGTCTTCGGCTTGCATGATGTCATGCTCACCACTTCTGTCCACCTCTGTCATGTCTGACCCTTCTTGATTATTCACATAGCCACACTTCACAAAACAGTTCTGGATTGTGGACTGGGTCACTCGGCATCCCCTTATCGCTCACACTCATTTTTTTGCAGGTAAGACGCGCTCAAGGTCGCATACCACACATTTTGACGGTACTGCAACTTGCTACACCATGTTTCAAAAACATCAACCGCTTTTACTACTACCAATGCTTACTAACATTTGTGTGGTGTTGCACTTTCTTAAAAATGATCAGTGCGGGATTAACATTCATGGAGACCAAGAATTCCGATCGATAGATGTGGGAAAACGATAAATCGAAGAACGATCAATGTGGGTTTTATTTCCATAGTTTAAACAGGATTTGTTCAGGGACCACAGAAATTGAACGATGGATCCGGGAAAGCGATATATCTGGGAACGATAGATCGAGGTTTCACTGTAATTGAAATGTTAAATAAAATTGACTTGAAGATACTAATTGCATGTCATGTTTTTTGTTATGTATGATGTCAGTAATCAGCTGATAGACATGTTTGCACCCGTGCAAAGCACCTTTTAAGTTCACTCAGTCTGTCCGTTGAACTGCGTGATGGATTTTCATGAAATTTGGTGTTGGAGAATATCATTGAGCCATGTCAGTTCTAATTTAGATGGAATTGTAGGAGATCTTTGAAATGTTGGTTTTTAACACTGAAAGAGCTGATCACCTAAGATTTTAGGAAATTTGTTCACTGTGGAAGCTTAAAATCTTATATGAGTCTTACATATGTTTCTGTGTGTATCTCACTAAATGTTCTCAGGAGAGAAAAATGTTTCAAACAAAAGTCACAGAGAAAAACGAAACATGTATATTATTTCTAATGCTCTTCTAAATTCTTAGTTTTTCTGACATAATTAAACCAGAGAGATGTAATGAGTACTTTTGAAAACTTTATGAGTTCAAGCATGGCTTTCTGAACACAAGCACAATTAAGGTAGAAAATAAAACAAAGCCTTTATTCTGTATTACAGTACAACTTTGAAACTTGTATTAGACAATTATCGATACTTTTTATTTTCATTTAGCAAATTTTTGAGCCTTAATACTATTGTCTATTCATTCAGTATGCCTGTATAATTCTGACTTCCTGCCAATTTGATTATCTTAATCCAACAGTGATTTATGTGAATTGAATCTTTCATATTATAAGTGAAAAGTTCACCATAGTCTTAATTGTTCATTTATATTTCCATCTGTTGAACACTGCTGTTAAGGGTACACTATATACTTTAAAATATATGTTGATTATATAGTCTCATGCCCTTCACCAGTGCCTGTGTCAGGTGTTGGTGCTGCTTTCATCATTGGCAGCTTTCTGCTAGCAGTATTGTCAGAATCTTACATGGAGGAGCACATAGTATCTTTGTGCTGTAGAGAGAACTGTGAAATACTGAGCATCAATGTGACAAGACATAAGTCCAGTATGTGCATGTGTTGTAATTCCACTGAACAGTATTGCGCAAATAATGTCATGTGGACCGAATTAACTAATTAATTAATTAATTAAAACTGTTATTTCATAAACAGAACCATAAAGGCACTAAAAAGCCAAGGGATCAAAATTATATGGAATTTTATTTAAAATGTTCATGCTTTACTGAGATCCAATGTGTATGATCTGTGAATAACATTTGGGGCTTTCACAGTGGTCAATATTTGTGTTGTAGTCTTCTGAGTAGTAGTAGTGGTAGCCACTGGTAGAGCTTGATTACAGTGTGATGGCACATGAACAGAAGATACTTTTCATTTATGTGTGGAGCAGATGAGTCCAAATTCTCTTACAGCGGACATGAGGTGCAGACAGTTGAGTTCACTCCTGGCACCTGGTTTTTGTTCTGGAGTGGCTGTTAATGGGCTTACTCACTCTGCTATCCCATTTCCCCTTCACTTCCCCTTCTTTGCGCAGGTTTGTGCCATCACATAATATTCAAGCTATAACCATATAGCAGGTAACCACTGTTTCATAGGAACCTGCTGCCTCCGTTACAGATCTTGTCTATGGATGTGCTAAGACCTTGTGTTTTTTGTGCAGTTGCTGGCTGTCTATCTATGAGTCTGTTGTGTGGAGTCTGATTGGCCCAGTGTGTGTGGTCGTGCTGTTCAACCTTGGGGTCCTCGTCTTCTCTGTTCGAGCTGCATTTACTCTCAAAGATCATGTCATGGGGTTTGGGAATCTCAGGTGAGGCTGTGAGCTTTGAGATATTCATGGCAGTGACTTAAGATTTAATTTGCAGAGCCAGTCTTGTTGTTCTCTTACACTCTTCATATGCAACATGGTGTCACTTTTTCATCAGTGGTACTTCTATGACAGGTTACATAATTCCTGCACTGCATTGCCTGAAGTAGTTCATTGTTCTAATACTTGGTTAAAACTAGAAGAGTCCTATCTTCTGGGATATAACATTGTATATTCCATTGAAAGTCAAGACAGAAGACAAGATTCTTGATAATCACTGCTGAGAGAACCTCAAGTCCTAGTTGGTTAGAACTAGTTATAACTGTAGAATTTAGAGCAGTGAACAGTGAAGCGGGAAAAGCAATAGAGCGCAGCAGTTACACAAAAGTATCTCACTTGATGATGACCTTATGAAGCTGAAACATGTCATAGAAGTGTCATTTATAAAAAAGTGACTACATAGCATAGCAACAGTCTACAAGCACAATGAGAAGTTGCACTTTCAAGACTTCCCCTTCAAATTAAATTGTTAACCAGTGCAACAAGACGATGAATTATAAGACTATGGAGATTAGTGCCTTCTTGGATGTGCCACCATGTGGTCTGGTAGGCCATTATCAACATAAATGTGCTGCCTCGATCTTCAGGGTAGAAGAAACGATCCTGAAAATAGAGACAGTGTATTCCTTTAAAATGTCCAGTCATGATCTGCCACACTACGTAATAATGTCTCAGAAGATATTATTCTTTTAGGTAATATTGCTTATAATTTCTTTTCATTAACTAACTAGGTTCATGGAGCTGGGCCCTTCTTGAGAAGCTGCCAGTTGTGCAGCTACTCAAGAACTTCCCAACATTTTATGGAACCCATAGGTTCATTACCATGTTCACAAGAGCCCTCCACTGGTCCCTATCCTGAGCCAGATCAGGCCAGTCCATACCACCACATCCTATCTCTCCAAGATCCATTTTAATATTGTCCACCTATCTACATCTTGGTCTTCCTAGTGGTCTCTTTCCTTCTGGCTTTCCCGCCAATATTGTATATGCATTCTTCTTCTGTCCCATTCATGCTACATTCCATGCTCATCTCATCCTCCTTTACTTGATCATTATTGTTTTTCTTTCCAGTAGGCAAAATATTTGTTAAATAATTTGTATCCCAGTAATTAAGGAAGCGGTATGCATTGCCTTATGCTGCTTATTGAAAGTGTATGAAACCATCAGTGTCACGTGTTTGAAGTTTATCAACATGTTTATCATTTATCTTTGTAAACTGTACTCTTCCTAGTCACTTTAATGTTGTATTCTTGTATCAGTGATACCTCATTCATTTATTAAGTTTTTCTGTATATATGAGGGCCAGTCAAAAAGTTCCCAGAATGGTGGTATAGCACTCTAATGGTAGGACATATGGCAACGCTTACCTAATCACCTTCAAAGTAGGACCCTTGCGTGCGCACACACTTGCTCCATCGATCCTGCCATTGTTGGAAGCAGCAGTGGAAGGCTTCTTTTGGAATCTTCTTGAGCTCAGCCATCGCATTCGATTTGATGTCCTCCATGGTTGCGAAACGTGTCCCCTTGAGGCCCATTTTCGGAGTAGGGAACAGCCAAAAGTCACTCAGAGCGAGATCCGGAAAGTATGGTGCTTGAGTGATGACAGGAATGTTTTTCTCGGCGAGGAATTGCTGCACAAAAACGATGTGTGGCTTGGTGTGCTATCGTGATGCAAAAACCACTGTCCCTACCACTTGTTGTGCCGCTTCCTCCGAACAGCACCACGCAATCTCTGCAAAACTTGCACGTAGAAATGGCCAGCAACAGTACCAACTTCTTGCTCCAACTCCACGGTGGTCATTCTTCGATCACATCGAATCAGTTGTCGCAATTTTCCAATCATTTCTGTGGTTCTGGATGTCGAAGGTCTCCTGCTGCGCTGGTCATCCTCTTAACGTCTCCTGCCCATTCTCAAACCTGGAAAACCAGTCGTAAACTGTGGATTTCTTTAGTGCAGTATCACCATAAACTTGCTGCGGGGCCGATAGTGTCTCTGAAGCAGATTTTCTGAACTTGCACCAAATGACCAACACTCACGTCTAATTGAAACAGAACAGTAACTATATAGTGATCAGATGGTATGAAGCTAATGAATGTTGAGCGCTTGGTGGGATAAGAGCTGGCAGTGGAAACAAAAATGCTGAGAGAAAACCCACCTCAGTGGAGCTTTGTCCACCACAAATGTCACATGACCTGACCAGGGACTCAAACCTGAGCCACTATGGTGAAAAGCTGCTAACTGCTTGAGCTGTGACATTGCTGCAGAAATGTTAAATGACTTTTGATTTTCCTAGGCTTTCCTAATGACAATTGTAGTTTATGTACAATTATTTTAAGCAAATTAAAAAATGACTTTGTTTTTATGTTGTATTATGTGAGTGAAATTGCCCCTGTATGAAACTGATGGTCTTTAAAATTGTGATTTATTTTAAGGCACAGAGTTTGCTTTGTTTTGCAGGACACTGCTATGGTTGTCAGTGGTGTCGCTACCACTTCTTGGCATGGTGTGGGTTTTGGCAGTATTGTCAGTTAGTGAGAGGCTACCTCTGCTGTCATATCTTCTGTCAGCAGCAGTTCTTGCACATGCCATGTTTGCTCTGATTGGTTACTGCTTCCTCAACTCCCGAGTTAGACGGAATCTCTACGTTTCATTGCTGCGGTGCATTGGTAAAAAGGTTCCTCTGGACTCGTCAGAAGTGACAACAGGAGGTACCAGTAGCCACAGTCACCAAGGTGGCTCTGCCAGCCAACAGCACTCGGTATGAAAAAACAGTGTTTTATTTATTTATATTTTTTTTCACTTTACCATTTGTAAGATTTGTGGTCATCATGGCAGTGATGATTCATGTGGCATTATCGGGTTTGACACACTGTAATCTGGTAGGTGGGCACGTATGTTTTTGGTAGAACATTCAGCCTGCGGCATTACTTTTCTCTGACCTTGAAGACAGAATGGTATCCTCCTGCCACACTGTACAGTGTCATGTCCCACATCACAACATGAAACACTTTACCACTGTGCATTCAGAAAATATACTGCGTATATCATCAAAGCCACCACCTCCACCACCACCATCTTCTTCTCCTCCTCTTCTTCATCATCATCATCATCATCATCATGGATTAGGCCAAGGTTTGACACAGTCCATCTTCTTGCAGAGAACTATAATCTTGCCACCTTAATATTGGACATCCAACACTACTTCTCCCCTGGTCCAGATATCCAGATATCATATTTTCATTTGAAAAGCACATTTTTCCATTGAGATGCTGTGATTTTTCTGCTTTTGCTTTATGTATTTCAAGATATTGCTTTAACAGATACTTACAGTGTGTTTCTTAATTAGTCACTGCAATATGAAAATAATTTAACCAGCATCTGAAACTTGTAATCTGTAGTTAAAATAGAATAAGTGCCCTGAAATGAAGATTTTCTAAAGGTTTGTGACTGTTGTTTGTTCATTATACTATCAAAAGGTACTGAATGATTTAGCCAAATAAGTTATCACTCAAATATAGGTATGTCTGCATGTTCACTAGGTGTTGCTATTCAACAGCTTACAGCAGTGGGTACTCCTTTGCCTACCAGGACCCTGCCAATGGGCATCTGTCTCACAACAACCTAGCACTAGGATGGCCTCCCTCAGGACTTACACAGTGCCCCGGTTTGCTCTCCTTGTACAGTCTGTGCATGGACTCAACCGAGAACACTGCCACCAGCGGTTCCTCTATTGCTGTGTGCTAACTGTTGCTGCTGTGACATGACTTAGTTGCCATGGAAACATGTTTATGGAGCCATTCCTTGTTTAGGTCATTTGAGCCTAGCAATTGATGTCTTTTCTTCTTCCACAGTTCTGGCTTTGAGCCATCATGTCACAATGTCACAATATTCTGTGCTCTTTTATAGCGTTCAGCTTTGGCATATCACAGTGGAGGTGGTAGTATGGACCCATCACGTCGTCATGTTGGAATTTCAACATCCAGCACCACGAGCCGTTCAACCACAAAAACAAGCAGCAGTCCATATAGAAGTGACACCCAACTGCGCCATACTTCCACTAGCACCAGCAACTACAATTCAAATAGTGACATGCCATCCTACATCCGAGGCTTTGATTCCGCACTCCACAGGCATAGAGAAGGTGTGTACTGCATCAGGAAATATCTGGTAATTTAGAAACTATGGGACATTCTTGTTTATGGACACATGAAACAGTGACAAGTTTTGCAGTGTTTCCCAATTGGGCCTCACATTTTGTGTTGCAGATAATGATCTACAAATCTAATGTGTTCTGTCTGTCTGTCACTGTGTCTACCTACCTACCTAACTGCCTGCCTGCCCGCCCACCTGCTCATATAGTACAGAATACATGGCAATATATCCTGGAAGATGGAAAATTTCATAACTACCGCTGTGAGATCCTCAAATCCTACAATATCTTAATTGTTTCGATCCTGTTGTGTGTCATGATTTGTGATGCTCTGGCCATCAACACAACATATATTTCAAAATAAACCAATCTGATTGTTTACATTGGTTTTATTTAATAACTGATATGTGTTTTGGTTTTTATTTAATGAAACCGCCTGAGAATGGTCCAAAATATGGACCAAAACATGTAGTAGTTATTTAAAACCAATGTAAACACTCAGATTAGTTTATTTTGAAATATTTGTTGTGTCAATGGTCAGAGCTTCATGAAGATAAAGGAAAGCTCAGCTTACTGCTGGTTTCTGTTCTTTCTTACTTGGTGTACTCTTTGACTCTGAAGGTGGAAGTGATATGTTCCTCCAAAATGTTGGGCTCGGTCAGAATTACGCCGCATTACAACCTAGGAGACTACACTCATCATGATCATAGACAAAGAACTGGTGTGTTTAATTTCATTTCACTCCTTTCTGGTTTTCTTGGACCTTCCTAGTTGTATATTTGGAAGCAAAGTTGAAAAGCAATAGAAGTTAAGCATCCCCTCTCTTCAGACCATTGTTGACAGGAAATGAATCAGAAGAAGGTAGGATTTGAGGTTCCCACATCAGTGGGTATGGAGAATGTTATCGTCTCAGAAATAATGCTGCCTAGCCCATTGAAAATAAACTGATGTTTCATAGGAACACACTGACTCCATCTTCAGATTTAAAGTATGGGACAAGCAAGCAGAGCTCGCTGCCTGCTTCATGCTGGTTTCTTGTTTGGCTTATAATTCAACCATGAAGATGAAGGCAACATGTTCCTCTCAAGTGTTGGTTGATTTTTAGTGGACTACATGACATTGTATCCCAGAAGAGAGAACCCCTATTCAGTTGAATGTTTACTTATATGGAACCTGGTGTGTAATATAAAAGTAAAGTTGTCCCTGTGCTTAACTAATTAAGCACCATGCCATGAAGGTGTATGGGGGAGTGGATGTATAGATTCACATTTTCTTGTCCTCGGCACTAGCGGAGGTAAGTCGTCAGCTTCATGCCCCTCCTGCTTTACCCCCAGGGAAAGAGCCCCCCCCAGTACCCATTGGATACAAGGCTGGGTGGGCCCCAGAGCTGGTCTAGGTGACACTGTGAAGAGAGTTGACCCTACTGGGACTTGAACTCTGACCTGTTAGTCGTCCAGCCCGTAGCCAGTTGCTATACTAACTGCTATCCCATGGAACCTGGTGTGTATTCAAAGAAATTGGAGGAGGGGAGATGGCTAAAGGTTGACAGAATTTAATAAATTTTTTCTTATGTAGTGTCAGAGGAGAGTCCAACAAGAGCACGTCGGCAGGAATCTGACTCCGACTCAGAAGTGTCGGTAGATGGTCGCAGCCTGGAGCTGGCCTCCAGTCACAGCAGTGATGATGATGAGTCTTCCAATAGGCATCAGCATAGAGATGTTGGTAAGACTAACTCTAGGACTGACATACTGGCTACTAGAGAGAAGTAGTTAATGGAACCCCAGAGTTTAGAGTCACATGAACGTTGAGAACACTACGCCCTGCATTATTTGATGCATTGTCCATGTAGCATATTTGCCTAAATATAAGCCACACCCTTGAATTGTATGGTCTTTAAATGAAGCAAATATTTTATGCACTTAACATCGTTACATGCAGCAGTCAGAATAGCTGAGAGCAAATAAATGCAATTATATTTAATATTTAAAAACTCGTTAATTTAATTTTTATGTTGATAAGGTACCTTAACAGCATCAAAAAATTATTTGTGATGCAGTTCCATTAGAACTCCGCCAGTTGGTAACACTGACTCAAATTAAGTTTTTATCAATGTATCATTTAATTAAAGCTAGAAAAATATATCTTGTTCATAACAATGAGCTCTGGACTCATTCTGGACAATCCAGTGAGTTCTTCGTTTAACAACCATTTATAAGGGTAGATTTGAAAGGATTCTGACGATGGTGTATACTGTACTTCTTTTGGCTTATTTTGGACTTCACCCATCGTCTGGTATGTAAAAGACAAAAAGACAAAAAACCGTCTTCAGGTGGATAGGGAAGGATAAACCTACTCAGTTGGGCCCGTTAGAAAGAGCTAGTCTCAATCACTGGACAATCCCCAGTCTGTAGAAAAACAACCTATGAACAACCGACAACCAGTTCCATCGGTGGGAGGAAAGAATAAAATCACAGCAAAAACATGATAGAAAATTTGTGCCAAGCATGCACTTGTCAACAATGTAAAGAAACAGAAGTGTGGGTTATATTCCATGAATTCAGTTAAAAACGAATCTGCGTGGATAAAGAATCGTGCCACCATGGCGACTTTTGGGAATCAGACTAATCCCCGGAACAAGACTTGCAGGAGTAGTGGAACCACTAATATTCATAAAATTACATTTTTTTATTTGTTAACCTCTTCATTGATGAGGGGGATCCATATGGGAGAAATATCCAAACTGGGTTGGCTGATGGGATTGGATGAACATGCCATATGAGCTGATTCTTTGTATTTTCTGTATCTGCTGTTGCTTTCAACCTCCAAGATCCTAGCTTCATCCCAGCTTACCCTGTGACCTTCTTCATATGCATGCTGAGCCAACCTGGATTTCTCTAGAAGACCCTGCTTGAGATTGTGCTTGTGTTCACGGATTCGAACAGCCAGTGGTCTGCCTGTTTCACCAATGTAGCTTCTGCCACATTGACAGGGAATGCTATAGACGCACTGTGTCATCTGTTGAGGATCCCTTTTGGGTCTCGTTCTCACGAGCAAAGATCGTACTGCTACTGCTCTCTGCATTCGCAAGCCAATTCACCTGCCCTGAAGATGGAGGCGATATGTTCCTCCAAAACGTCGGCTAAAACAAAGAATACACGGCGCCAGATCCCAGAAGACGACTTTCGTCAAGTAATTGTACAGTTTATTAACAGGATACTCTCAGATTTAAGTTAAGATCTATATTAAGAATCGCAGGGAGACTGCTGTAATAGAATAAGACATTTATAAGAATGTGCTACAGAAGGCCAGGTGGGCATTGTCTAGGCCTTTTTTGTATTTACAGCAATTTTTTCCCATAATAAAAAATATATCCTAAGCTGTGATTGCAATTTCCACCTTTTCTAAGAGAAGTACACAGGTTACTTCTAGATAGCAGCAACACTTACTGCACATTGTTATTCTGTCAAATTTAGTATCTTAGCCTAAATGTAGTTACGTTTCTAAAACTTTCAAGCTCATAGCATGCGTATTCAGTGAAATTATAATTTCAGAGTGTCCCTTAAGGGCTGAGAGCATAAGAATAGGTGACAGTGAAATACTTGTATTTTGTTCTCATTTATTTCATATTTAACTATGTTGTCAATGCTGGTACTGTATGGATGTCAAATGATAAATGAATAATTAATTGGAAAGGATATAGAAGGAAGTGGTCATGGCCTAATTTAAGATAATATCTTGCCATTTGCCTGGAGGGACCGGAAAACTATGAAAAACTTTAGTCATGATAGTTGAAGTTCCAACCAAGATGCAAGTGAGACATCTCCCAAATAAAAATGTTAACAACTTGAGTTAACATGCGTGGTGAACTAAGCACAGTATGATAAGAGGTGATGCTAATAACTGCAGAAACTTTTAGCTGAAATTTCAGCAAGCATTATGCCAGTGAACCAAGTAAAATGAAATTGTGCAGATGTCATGAAAATTATGGCTCTCTGTATTGTAATGCTGTATAGTTCAGAGACAGCCTGACATTTCAGAAGAACATATTGTTACAAATCTGCTTGAAGTAATAATTAAGAAGCTAGAGAAATAGCTGTTGTTAGCAAATGGCTCTGAAACAACATTCATTTCTAGACTATAGCTGTGAAGCAGACAGTGGAATGACATTTGTTGCTAGGCAATGACTGTGAAGCAGACAGTCGAATGACATCTGTTGCTATGCAATGGCTGTGAAGCAGACAGTGGAATGACATTTGTTGCTATGCAATGGCTGTGAAGCAGACAGTGGAATAACATTTGTTGTTATGCAATGGCTGTGAAGCAAACAGTGGAATGACATTTGTTGCTAGGCAATGGCTGTGAAGTAGACAGTGGAATGACATCTGTTGCTATGCAATGGCTCTGACACAGACAGTGGAATGACATCTGTTGCTATGCAATGGCTCTGACACAGACAGTGGAATGACATCTGTTGCTATGCAATGGCTCTGACACAGACAGTGGAATGACATCTGTTGCTATGCAATGGCTCTGACACAGACAGTGGAATGACATCTGTTGCTATGCAATGGCTCTGACACAGACAGTGGAATGACATCTGTTGCTATGCAATGGCTCTGACACAGACAGTGGAATGACATCTGTTGCTATGCAATGGCTCTGACACAGACAGTGGAATGACATCTGTTGCTATGCAATGGCTCTGACACAGACAGTGGAATGACATCTGTTGCTATGCAATGGCTCTGACACAGACAGTGGAATGACATCTGTTGCTATGCAATGGCTCTGACACAGACAGTGGAATGACATCTGTTGCTATGCAATGGCTCTGACACAGACAGTGGAATGACATCTGTTGCTATGCAATGGCTCTGACACAGACAGTGGAATGACATCTGTTGCTATGCAATGGCTCTGACACAGACAGTGGAATGACATCTGTTGCTATGCAATGGCTCTGACACAGACAGTGGAATGACATCTGTTGCTATGCAATGGCTCTGACACAGACAGTGGAATGACATCTGTTGCTATGCAATGGCTCTGACACAGACAGTGGAATGACATCTGTTGCTATGCAATGGCTCTGACACAGACAGTGGAATGACATCTGTTGCTATGCAATGGCTCTGACACAGACAGTGGAATGACATCTGTTGCTATGCAATGGCTCTGACACAGACAGTGGAATGACATCTGTTGCTATGCAATGGCTCTGACACAGACAGTGGAATGACATCTGTTGCTATGCAATGGCTGTGAAGCAGACAGTGGAATGACATTTGTTGCTAGGCAATGGTTGTGAAGCAGACAGTGGAATGACATTTGTTGCTATGTAATGACTGTGAAGGAGACAGTGGAATGACATTTGTTGCTAGGAAATGGCTGTGAAGCAGACAGTGGAATGACATTTGTTGCTAGGGAGCAGATTCTTAATAATCAAGAATAGACAGCTGCTGCTACGTAAGTCCTCAGTAAACATGTTCCCGTGAAATGGTTAGCATACGAGAATGAACAGGATTTTCTTTGCGGTCCTTGCAGAGTGGTTATAAGCAAGGTGAGGTTTGGAGCTTAGTTCAGTTGAGAGTTGACTTTTGAGTTCTGCGCTAGGGGATGTGAAGCTGAAGGATCTCCACTGTCACAAGCCATTGCCCGTTTATGGCGGATGAAGGCACAGCAGGCTGGAAAAAGCTTGGCAAGTGCTGTGGTGATCTGTGGATTGTGGTGATTAGCAATAGCATTATAAGTGCTTGCAGTTTTGTGTTCTGTGTATAAGTGAGTGTGTAATTCAGTGAGACTGTTACATAGTTCCTGTGTTAAAATCATTTACCAGGAAATGGCTAGTGGGGCCCAATAGACTGAGGACACTCGTCTGTGTTGTGTGTCATTGATCTGTAAAGCGTAGTCACTAGTTGCGAGTGTATAAGTGGCCAATAAATTGAATCACCAATTCAGGCACCGTCTACAGTTACTCAAAATCATTACAATATATTCTATCACTTCTTGTTGTAATTAGTGCTAACAAAATCTTTAATTATGTAATATTGCTCAGGTTTCTCTTCTAGACACCAGTTAAATGCTTGTCTTAAGTATACTGTACACTTGTACCTTTTTGTTAAATTTCATTGATGTAATATACCCACTGCAATTTGTTGGTTAGGAGCAGGAAAAATTGTATAAACTTTTCAATCTCTCATGTTTTAAATATGCACATAGACACACTTCTGATTTCCAGAAATGCTGTCATGTAAGCAATGTACATTGCACATCACTCAGATGGTGTTGGGTGCTACTTTAAAGCAAAGTGTATCAGAACAGATGTGAGAAGGATGGATTTTGAGACTGGTCCCCAGGAGAAGTTTGGCATAGAGTTGCCCTGGTTAAAAGACGTGAAAAAGGAAAAAGCTCAATCTCACTCATGGAGCTGAGCCCTTCTCGAGAAGCCACCAATTGTGCACCTACTCAACAACTTCCCAGCATTTAAGCAACCCGAAGGTTCATTACCGTGTTCACAAGAGCCCTCCAATGCTCCCTATCTTGAGCCAGATTGACGCAGTCCATACAATCCATCCTATCTCTCTAAGAGCCATTTTAATATTGTCCACCCACCTATGTCTTGGTCTTTTTAGTGGTCTCTTTCCTTCTGGCTTTCCCATTCTTCTTCCTATTCATGCTACATTCCCTGGCCACCTCATCCTCCTTGACTTGATCATTGTAATTATACTTGGCAAAGACTACAAGTTATGAAGCTGCTCATTATGCAAAGGGAAAATGATATGTAACATAATTGCTTTCTTAACACATGTGCTGCCAGTCCCATCGCCTGGTAGGATGAAGTTTACTGTGTGCCGGTGTTGATGCTGCTATGTGACAGGCTGTTGCCACTATGTATGCAAACGCCATTGTCACGTACAGACCACTCACATGTAGAGAAGCTTTACATGTAGCTTGCCAGAGCTTGGAAGAATCAAAATATACAGCAGCTTGTAGATCTTCATCCGTCTATAATGCAACAATATTAATACAGAGTGATTCAGAAAGATGGACACAATTTCAATTGACTATATTTCCTGAACTGTATGTTGCATTTGAATTCTGTAAAGTACATTTGAAAGAGGATGTTACAAAGTTTCTAGTACTGCCGCTAGTGCCCTCCATCACTGCGTCCCGGGCCGATCGCGTGTATCGGAGGAGAACATGGAGTGCATTCAAGTGAACTTTGAGCGCAGCCCAATGAAGTCAACCTGTAGTGCTAGTAGAGAACTTGGACTATTGCAAACAACTGTGTGGCGTGTACCACCTCTTCCCACAAATTTGAATGACCTAAGAAACTGTATCACAGCTGCGGTGAACTCAGTGACGCAAGATATTTCTCATCGAGTGTAGGATGAATTCAGCTACCGTCTAGATGTTATCCGTGCAGCTGGAGGAGGGGGGGGCACATTGAACATCTATAAACTTCCATGCATGTATAATCAAGTGTAATTTACAGAATTCAAATGCAACATATAATTCAGGAAATATAGCCAATTGAAATTGTGTCCATCTTTCTGAATCACCCTGTATAGATGTAGATGACACTGATCCACATTTAACTCACTAAAATGTTTGTCAGAATATTTAAATTGTCATTAAAATATATATACATTCTGTGTTAGGCACTATGTGTTTCAGCCTCACACGTCCATCCTCAGTCAACACACTTTTTAAGGAATCCACTGCACTGTGCACTTTTTCAATTGTATTCTTAATGTGTGTCATTATTTTATGTTATGGGGTGCATGTGCCTCCTATCCCCCATATTGTGGCTGCTTTTGCCCCATTGAGCCTGCCACTCTACTTGGTTGTGTGTATCTTGTGAAAATATGTGTTCCTTTTTCCTTGAGTTAAAGGGAGATTAGTGTCCTCTAAATCAATAGTAATATTGTTGCATTATAGATGGACGAAAATCTGCAACTGATACTTCAATGCAACAGGATGCTGAAATTTAATCTTGCATACAGCAACTGTTAATTGGTTTTCACTTATTTGCTTTCATTTCTGTTTTGAACAAAGTAAGTTAAAACTTTAAGTTTTATTTCTGAAAAAAGAAGGCTGCCCTCACAGGTAAAATATCCCAGTACTGGGTCATGGCAGTAAATGTGTTACCATGCATCACATTCTCTTATTTCTCATTGTTGCTTTTGGTGGTAGTGTTGTACTGTTACAAGAAATATTATGTGGGTTCTCACTCTGGTTCTGTGGCTCTGTACATCTGGTTTGAATGATGCCTCTCTGCTCTAACTTTCACAGAGACTCTTCTTTATGTTTCAGGGGTTTCAGCAATGGGAGCACCAACTTACCTTCCTAATATCTGTGAAGATCCTTTGGGTAGTGGTAGAGGATCTTCTCCACATTTAAATCCCACTCGGGGACCCCCACCAATACTTGAGCCCCCTCCTCCTTTAAACATTATCAGTAACAGTCAACTGTTTCCAGATCTCAAACCCATCTATGCACCAAGATGGTCAAGTCAGCTACCTGAGGCTTACCTCCCTACTAACAGTAAGTGTGTGTTCAGAAATCTAAAATAGCTCATAATAACTTTGTTGTGTAGATAGCACATGTACATTGTACCCCTATGTTATGGGTGATCAGGTTATGGAATTTGTCCCATATGGAAATTATATAAAATGACTGTATTAGTCATTATATAAAAAAAAGGGTAAAGCTCTCCTTGTAACAGGCCGTGAAGGCCCATAATTTTGCGAGATATCGAGGCTCCCACATTTTCTAGACAGTAGGGTCGCAGATGATGGTGAGGTTAAGTAGAGCTATCACTGTAACAGGCTGTGAAGGCCCATAGTTTTGTGAGATGTCAGGGCTCCCACATATTCTAGACATTCAGTTCATAGATGGTTCATAGATGGTGGTAAGGTTGTCAGCCTTATGCACCGGCTGCCCATTACACCCCAGGAAGATTCCTGGTGGTCATTTCTGTTAGAGGCTGAGTTGACCCCAGGGTCATAATGTGGCTGGAAACATCAGGTAAATTGAAAAAGACCCACCTCATTGGGACTCAAACCCACGACCTTCTGGCTTGCAGTGTAGTGTTTCAACAAACTATGCTACTGCGTGCCCATAATATTCATTTTATGGATTAATAAATTAATCCTTAACACTTTGCGGACGGTGATTTAAATATTTAAATCACCCTGGGGACCGGCATTTTTAAACCTACTACCCTAGCTTGTGCACTGTTCACTTTAAAAATTAATATAAAATCTCCTAATTAATTTTATGGACTAAAATTTTTGGAGAAGACTTACCAGAGCTCCTAGAAATACTTCAGAGTGTAATATTTCTGGAAACATTCTCCTCTGTGAAGAGGCATGACGCAGAACTTGCAGACGTAGGAAGTCTTGCTTCGCTTCTTGTGCACAGCACACACACCGCACTGCCTAGAAGGATACTTGCCCGTCGATTGTTCGCTCATCACAATTTTCACAAGGGTATGTTTCCGCATATCACCCGAGAGTCGCCCAGGGGGTCCATATGAGGCCTCCGTGGGGTGGGAGTAGATGGTCCCGGTCGTACTACGTCTGTGTCTGATGCAGGTTCTGCCACCACTGTGAGGTCTGTAGCCCAGGCTTTTGCCACTTTCATGAGAAATTCCTTGTATTTCAAAGTTGAATTTTCGCTTAGCTCTTTGAAAACCAAAAATGAATTGAAAAGGGCTCAATTTATAAGCCACAAGGCAACTTTCTTCATCCATTTTACTGTTTTCCTAGGAAGGGAATAATAGGCCAAGTATTCGTCGGCTCTATCAACTCCCTTCATGAACATATTGTACTGAGAAATACAAAGAGGCTTCTTCACTTGCCCGTGTCATCTTTGAACATCGACCATGCTCGAATTGTGAATAGTGGAAATCATTCACAACACGAGTATCCCTCCAGGACTGAAGAAGAATGTCCCCCTTCCTCCTGAATGTAGTGTCACCACATTTCAGGGATTTACATTCCTCTTTCAGATCTGGAGGAAGGCCTCTGTTCACCCTAATTGTACCACAAATACGTACTTTCCTTGAAAGTAAGTATTCTGCAGTTGCCACACTGTTATAAAAATTATCTTGATAAACGTGATAATTTTTATCCAGATAGGGATCCAAAATGGAAACAATAGTTTCTTGCAATTTCTTGCCTTCACCGGAATAAATTTCTAAATTTCCAATATAGCTCGAAGTACTTTCCATGACTACACGAACAAGTAGGTCATACTATGTGAGTTTCCCAGGATTATACGTTCAAAAACGAAGCCTTCCCCTCCAAGGAATCACAGATTCGTCCAAAGACAGTTGCTGCTCTGGCTTATAAACTGTCTGAAATTTCTCAATGAAAGAGTCTAATAAGGGCTGAATTTTGAAAAGCCTGCCCATTGATTGTGGTTGCAGTTCATTATTATTGAAATATAAACACCACCATATCTGCTCAAATCTCTTACGACTCATGAGTTTGCTGAAAATGGGAATTTCTAAAAATGGATCAGTGGACCAATAGTCTTTCAAATTATCCCTCCTTGTAAACCCCATTAGAATGATTATTGCCAAAAAAATGTTCATTTCTGCTGAAGTGACATCCACCCACTTCAACGCCCTATAGGTACTGTCATACACCTCACGGTGTTGGAGATAGTATCTGTTGGTCTCCTAACACAACATGTCAAAGAAACTATCTCCAAAAAACAGTTCAGCTACTTCAGACACTTGTGTAGGGTCCGATGGCATTTGTCTCACCCCTGGATCACCAGTAAACTTTCCCAAAGTGGGTGTTTTATCCACTTTACCCCATGTAGCTGTCCCTGCAATGTTAGCACTCGCACTTTCATCGGAGCTCTCACTGTCACTTTCACTTTCTCTTCTGGTCACAATATTTTGGGGGCCCCTGTCACTGCCACTGACACTGCCCTCGCTATCAGAAGGCAAAGCAGTTGGCAAGTCAGATAACTCATCGGAGATCAAATCACAGATTTCTTCTCCGAGAGCTCACGCGGCCTTCAACTGCTTTCGTCTCTGAGCCATGTTGACACTGAGAATGTCTTGCCTCACACACAGAAGCTTCAACTTGAACAAAGGGACTTTTCTTTAGAGTGAGAGGGGAATAGAGAGTGTTCATGTTGTTGACTCGGAAAACAAACATTCCGAAGGTCAGCTACACAGTACTTTACAGACACGTGGCCACCAAAGCGAGGAATAGTGTGTTGCAACATAATGTGTCCTAAAAGCCTAAATTTAGGCGACCGGTCTGCCACGTTTAAAACCCAAACGCCTAGGCCTAGGCGTCTGGTCCGCGGAGTGTTAAGAAAATCTGGGATAAATATACGGTTGTATTTTTTTTGGACATAAGATCCAGAACAACATCAGATTCTGCCCAGACCATTTTAAGAATTGATCATTGGTTAGGAAAGTCCCATTTCATATATGCATGCATCAGTGGCATAACAGGATGCCTGGAAGCGTGGTTGCTATTTTCATCTTTTTTAAACTATAACAATGCATAACCTTATTTAAGATTCCTGTAAATCAGCTGTTTTTTTTTATGGGCAAAGAACCATGCTCATGTTACAGCCATGGACTGAAAATATTTATAAAGCAATGCATCTCCACTTATAACATGGGAGCCAATGGAGAAATAATGTTTAGACTAGGAAGTTTCACCATCTGAACAGATCTTCAAGAATACATCCCTTTCATATTGTGAAGGAATTCTGTATTTGTTGTAGATTGAACTGTACATATTTTTAATGGATACTGGATGTATGTGCACAATGGCCAAAGGTTGTCTTTGTTGTATATATTGTAACGTGTTTACTTTACCGAATACGCCGTAGAGATGGTTAATTGGTTTATTTAACAATCTTCAAATAACGGCTACAATTAATGATAACAATGTTACGGGTTTCCACACTTTACAAACCCTAGAACAAAATCTCTTCACACAATCTTCACTTGTCTTCACGTCCTAATAACGCGGGAGCTATACACGTCTCCCTGAATTACACACTCCGAGTATAACTGTGCTACAGCACTCACTATGTCTGGAAAGCACACGAAAAGTCTTCCGCTCGCTGACTTCTTAAGTATCGAACACTCGCAGGCTGCTATATTTCAACTCGGCGACTGTTACTTTATAACTGACCCGCAGCCACTGTGCAGCTCACTTATATAGCTGCAGTGCTTGCTTGTTGCGTAATGAGTGCCACGTCATCCTGTTACGTCACCGCTGTTGATTCGCCTTGCATAGTTACCCGGTTACGGGGCTCGGCTATCTTCGGCTCCGCTCGGCTCTCTTCGGCTCCGCTCGTGACGTCACCGCGCATAGCTGCCAGGATGCGGGGTGATTACTCGCCTATTACGCGAGTGTTACGTTACTGCTGAGGGGTGGGAGGGGAGCGCTGACTCACCCGCCGCGTCACTGCTGGTGTGGGGGGGGGGCTCGGCTTTGCGCAACATGTCACAATATGTTTTGACATGTGGACCCGTTTCTGGGCAACGACCACAAAATAAGTGACTCTACAACAACTGTTGCTGGGTAACATCTCCACCAAGAGACACGAGCACAGCAATTCCATGACAACATTGCACTGCAACAGAGGAATGATGTTTTCTATGCTGTCCATGCTGCGATGTTATAAGCAGAACAAGTGAGTTGAGCTAGTCAGTGAAGTGAAGAGTAGTGGATTGGTGAGTGAGTGAGTGAATTAGAGGTCTGCTGTGGTTCAGTCCTTCTGAACTGTTGCTGTGAGAAACTGGTAGCTGAGACACAGGGATAGTTCAGGAACCCAGAGGAAGGGGCTTGTCCACTGTTCGAAGCCGTTACCAGAAGACTGATGAAGACAGCAGGTTGAGAAGACTTAATTGTGTGCTCTAGTGAAGTGTAAAGTGCATGACTTAGTGAAAAACTTATAATTACTTGTGGTCACAGATCTGTAAGAGTTCAATAAATCCAATTACCAATCAAAACCCCATCTGTAGTCACTCACACACATGACAATATATACGTAGTATCTTACGTACTGTCATGTCATACTGGTTATCATATAGTTTATTATGTCTGCATCCTTTCAGTATTTTATAAGTTAGTTTATTTATTGGCTTAAATTTAAAATACGTTGCTTACCAGTGTGAAGTGTTATGTTGTTATGACTGCTTTGTGGGCATGAAGTACAGGGTGATTCAGAAAGATGGACACAATTTCAATTGGCTATATTTCCTGAACTACATGTTGCATTTGAATTCTGTAAAGTACAGTTGAAAGAGGATGTTGTAAAGTTTCTAATACTACAGCTAGAGCACTCCAGCACCGCGCCAGTTGTAAGCGAGAAGGCTACTATGCAACACAAGATTTTTTTGCATTCGTGAGTTCAGTAAAAGTGAATCTGCGACTGCTATGTAACGTGCATTTCGTCGTAAGTTTAACATCCAACCTCCAATGAGGAAGAGAATTTATCGTTGGAATTAACAATTTGATGAAACTGGCTCTTTGTATAAGGGTAAAAGCAAAGTGACGCAAGAAATTGGTCATCGAGTGTGAGATGAATTCAGCTAACGTCTAGATGTTATCCGTGCAGCTGGAGGGGGGCACATTGAACATCTATAAACTTCCATGTGTGTATAATCAAATATAATTTACAGAATTCAAATGCAACATATAATTCAGGAAATATAGCCAATTGAAATTGTGTCCATCTTTCTGAATCACCCTGTATTTTCCACAAAATAATTGTGCATGTAATCATCCATATTTCTATAACTATAAGAATTTCTGACCTACATTAAGTGATAAAGAGTATTCTTTTCTGGGATGTGATGCCGTGTAATTTGGTAGATGTTTATTGACATCTTGGAGGAATGTACTGTTCCCATCTTCCTAGTCAAAGAGTAAGCCCTCAAACCAAACATGTAAAGTGCTTGCTAGACTTGCTTTTGGACTCTGAAGATGGAGACAGTACATCCCCCCAAAACATTGGGAAGTCTATGACCAGATTGCACAGTGCCACACCCTTCTTAGGTAACACTGTGAGAACCTCGGATGTCATGATGGTAAATATTGATTGGTTTCTGGTGACTCCGAGTATGGTCTGTTTGACATTTCTGGCCTCTGCCAGCCTAGGTAAGGGCACAAAATCTGTTTCTGGTAACCATCCAGAGAGGTGTTGCATGTTCTGCCATTAAAGTATTCAATAAATTTTCACCTAGTATATCTAGATTAAAAATGATAAACAATTATTAGGTCTGCTTTAAATAATTATCTTCTTACACATGTCTTATTCTACAGAAGAGTTTATATGAAATTATTAGTTCCTCTTTTATAAAAGGTTTCTTTAATCATGTTTATCTTTTGTAGTCTCTTGTATTGTCTACTTTTTAAACACAATCATATTTTGATATACTAGAGTCTGTACTTACTTTGTCATTGGTGTACTGTGTATATATTATTGTTTAATGTCCCTTTGTTCATGTTGCATTTTACAACATACATATCCTGACATGTTTCATATTCACCCATCGATGGACAAATATTGGATTAATGAAATATATCTGTGTGTATGTGGGTGGGGGTATATTCTGCTATGCCTGATGCTAGGGTGATCATGAGAAGGTATGAGATTTAAAGTTCTCACAGCAGTGGCTATGAAGATCACTGTTTTCTGGTTGGTGTGTATGAACTTCTTGTAAGAACCTTTTACTTCCATCTCGCAGCTTTGTACGAGAGACAATGGATGATGTTTTCGGTTCCTATAGGATTACCAAACGTTAGAATTCATTGAACTATGCAATAATAAGAAGGCAGACAGAACAGCCAACATATAAAAGCCCAAGTTTTGCAATTCTGTCTTCTCATATGCAGAAGTCATTGCTTGTAGTTACAGATGGGGCTTCCAGGCGACGGAGCAGTACCTATGCATCAGTTGGCATTGCTGTCTTGACCTTTGCTGAAAACAAATTTCTGTTGTTAATAGTATTGTAATTGGTTGAGGTACTATACTACTATACTACAAGCCAGAAGGTTGCAGGTTCCCATGAGGTCATTGGATTTCTCAAGAATAGCTTTACCTTTTTTTATAGTGTGCATGTTCAGTTAAATCATGATTGTTGTGTAAGAGAAGCAATGAATGGGTTGTCTGTGGAAACTGTAGCTAGGGATGGGAATTGCTTATTTCACACATTGTACACATTTGTTGCATTTGAAATCATTCGGAATATTGTGCAGCTGTGCATTAAAAGAAAGAAGGGCTATGAAATGCACTCATGAAAAATGGAGGTTATGGTGGTAAAGTCAAAATACTTCAGGTTATGTGGTATCAAAGTACAACAATACCTTGCATAGTCTGGGTAATTGGTTCCACCAATATCCCAGACTGTTTGAAACTGGACTAATCGAGGAACTAAATACATACAAAAAATGATAATTGGTTCCAAAAGAATCTGTTTTTCAATAAATAAAACACGATTAATAAATTATAATGTCTTTATTTGAAATAATTTTAAAAAATTCATGTTTTTTGCAATTCATTTTTTATTCTCTAAAAATTTCAATATTGATGTCTGCACATTTTTCTCCTTTGGCCTTTTCTCTTCATACATTTCTTTGTGGCAACGAATTGCGTTGTTTATCGTTCAGCAAATTGTAAGGCTATGTTCAATATTGGGTTCAACTTCCATAATATGCTCTGACAAGGCTTCAACCATTCCAATAATTTTTTATAGTTCAGCTGTTAATTCTCATGCAGGCACTTCAACACAGTTGTCGTTGTCTAAGTTGTCCTCCCGTTCTTCATAAGCCCGTTGTTCATCTATGTTAATAAGTGTTTCATTATCTAGTTCATTAGTGTTTGATTTGATGCGCTCAATTGCGTTGACAGTATCTGACTCATTGAAACCGAGTTGCTGTCCAGTTTCCACTCTCTTATTAGTGACTTCAGCAAAATGAGTTTCAAAACCAATGAAATCATTTGCACAATATAGTATCATATTTTTCCATACTGCCCTCATATTGCTTGCCATTAATTCATGCCATGCTTCACCTATATTTTCAATAACATTTCTGATGTTGTAGCTCTTCCAAAATTCCATTAAAGTAGTGCTCTCCCCACCTCCTCCAGCAATAGCTGTCAGAACTCAAGAATGAACGAACCGAACATAAGTACATACATACTCGTATACAACGGGGAACCCCAGAAAAAAATTAAAATATGTATCATATCGCATAACTTTAAAACCACATAAAAATAAACTGCACAAAAAGAAACTTGACTGTATAAAGGGAGAAAACCGGTCATTTATGTATTAAAAATAATTTTATGTACTAATTTTTTAGAATTTATTTTTCTTTTGCTCAATTAAATTAGTTTGTTTTGAAATTTTACAACCGGACTATAGTGAATCTGGACTGATCGAAGCCGGACTATACAAAGTATTGCTGTATTTGGGATTCTCATCCAACCAACAAAAATTACAAAGAAATTTACCATTTTTATAAAGTTGTGCAAAAATAAATATGTGATGTTCATACATTCAACCACCACCCAGTAGTTCTTCCTGCTAAGTGCAGCAGCACTGCCCATTGTACTCCTCATGCAGTTGCCATTACAGTAGAGGCTAGTTGAATTTGTGATTGTGTTACAGTTGTTTCAACTCTAAGATTTCTGTAAAAGAATTTCTTATGCAAATTGCAGATCTGTGTAAGTAGCACGCTTCATTCCTCACACATACCAGATAACAGGGAATTTGCTGTGATTGCTGTTAGTGAAATTTATAAAATATCTGTCAATGTTCCTTTTGTATCTGAGGAACTGGTCAGGCAACCACCAGTTGAGCAGATTGTTGATGAACGTAATGTATCTGTGTACTAGATGGTGGCTATTGCTGTGTTGCCATTTGAAGGAAAAGAAAGGTTAGGTATTTTTTCATGAAGTTTTATATTTCAGCATCCCATTGCATTGAGACATTACCGTTGTCAATAATGTAACAACATTTTTTTAAATAGAAAAGATATATAAAATATGTGTCTTACTAAAAGTGACACTTTTAATACTTTACATGTTGTTAAAATTATAAAATGTCATAAAGATACTAGAAGTATAACTTATACACTAAAAGCGATCATCACCCATGTGCAGCCGAAACATGTTGTGAGGTAAGATGAAACATGTAAAACTAGAGACATTTTAATAATTTGATGTTCACTTTTAGTGTATAAGATATACTTTTAGTATCTTAATGAGATTTTATAATTTTAACAACATCGTAAAGTACTGAAGTGGCACTTTTAGTGAGAAACATATTTAGATGTCTTTTATATTTAGAAAAAGAATATTGTTACATTATTGATGGGTACTTTGATAATGAGGATATTAATGAAATTTGTTTCTAATAGTTTGTCCATTGAAATTCCATATTTCTTTCTGCTAATACTCGTTATAAAAATGTGTTTAATTTAGCGATGGATGTTGGTCTGAGAGGAAGTCAGTGGTCGGGAACTGCCTCGGATAATGAAACTTCACCCAATCCCCTGCCTCCTCTGACAGAGAGTCATCACACATCTCCACATCTCCCTCACAAAATGGTTGCTGATCAAGAGAACTTTCATGATCTTGGTGACCAGTGTTCTGAAACAGAGGAGAAAATTCATCTTGGTGACAAATATCTGTTTCCCTATACAGGTAGAACCATATTGTGCTCACAGTTCAGACCTTAATGTACCCACATTTTGAACTAAATTATATTCACATTTTAAATCGTATTGTGCTTATATTTTGAACCATGTTGTGCTCAATTTCTAGCCTTATTGTTAGGCCCACATTTTATGTTGCATGAATTAAAAGTGAAGCTTACTGACTCTTGGGATGTGACGCAGTACAGTCTTGTAGGTGTTTACCAGTATTTCAGAGTAACCTGCAGCTTCCGTCTTGAAGGTAGAAGAGTTCGCTAAGTGTGAAAGAAGTCCAGATATGTGGGCATCTCTCTTGTGAGCAATTTTTTCTGCACTCAGCTTAATTTTCTACCATCACAGTGGAGAGAACATGTTCCTCCGAAACATTGGTTAGAACTAACAAAACTACATTATATCACAGTCACAGAAGGTAGTACATACTCTTCACATTTCTCACTGTTAGAACCACAAATCTTGCATGGATTAAATGTGCTCTGTAACCATGATTTCAAGCAAAAGGAAGAAATAAAATGTAAAAGAGTGTGACGATGGTATATTAATACAATTATTGTGTTTCTGGACATTATCCATCATCCTGTTTTTATTTGAAACACACAGTGTTTCGGAGACCGGATTCTGCTCCCGTCTTCAGGTGGAACATACTCAGTTGGGCCCAGTCAGTAGAGCTGGTCCATCTCTCCAGAGTAAATACTGGTAACGCTATGCTGTAACTGGTCTTTAGAAATGTGTGTTGCCCCTCGGCAATGGTCTTGCAACATTTAATGTAGTAATGCAGACCATTCAGGTGCAGAAGTAATGTACCCCATTACTTACTCATGGAGCTGAACCCTTCTTGAGGAGAAGCCAAATCTGCAGCTACTCAAGAATTTCCCAGCATTTTATGGAACCTGAAGGTTCATTATCATGTTCACAAGAGCCCTCCACTGGTCCTTATCCTGAACCAGATCAATCCAATCCATGCCATCCCATCCTATCTCTCTAAAATCCATTTTAATATTGCCCACCCACCTATGCCTTGGTCTTACTTACCAGTGGTCTCTTTCCATCTGGCTTTCCCACCCATATCCTATATGCATTCCTTTTCTGCCCCATTCGTTCTACATGCCCTGCCCACCTCATCCTCCTTGACTCGATAATTCTAATTATACTTGGAGAAGAGTACAAGTTATGACGCTCCTCATTATGCAGTTTTCTCCAACCTCCCATCACTTCTTCCCTCTTCGGTCCAAATATTCTCCTCAACATCCTGTTCTCAAACACTGTCAGTCTGTGTTCCTCCCTTAATGTCAGAGACCAAGTTTCACACCCATACAGAATGTATGTACGCCACACAAACAAATTTTGATACAGGTCTCTAAATTACATTTAATATAATTAAAGATATTCAAAAGCATTTATTGTTCTTTGCTTGTAAGGGCCTGTCCATCTATACATTTTATAAAATCATCATTCACCTCTCTTTGGTAACACAATTCATGTCACTGTACAATCTCTCCTACTACTAAAACCAAATTAATTAAAACTCAGCCTGACAGGTAAACTAGCCTGCTTTCCATGCCTTCTTCAGTCCAGAGAGAGAAAGCAGAAACATGAAGGTTGTTGGTGGAAATAAAAGTCTATAAGGAGTGCAGTCTGTTCTAAATGTCGCATTGGTCTGATTTTAATATCGCTCACAATCTCCAATGTCCTTTGTCACATACTACATAGTTAAGCAATCATGCATTGACTGCCTCCTCAAAATTTTCTCATTGCACACTCACTCACTCAAGGAGCGGAGCCCTTCTTGACAAGCTGCTAACTGTGCAGCCACTCAAGAGCTTCCCAGCATTTTATGAAATCCAAAGGTTCATTACCATGTTCACCAGAGCCCTCCACTGGTGCCTATCCTTAACCAGATCAATCCAATCCATACCATCCCATCCTGTCTCTCTAAGATCCATTTTAATATTGTCCACCCACCTACTCCTTGGTATTCCCAGTATTCTCTTTCCATCTAGCTTTCCCATCAATGCCCTATGTGCATTGCACAACAATTTATATTTATTTATGTTTGTCCATAAAGAAATCTAAACATCCTAACCAGCAACACAGACACACTGACTGCTTCACTCTGTTCCCAGCTGAAGAGGATCATTGTGGTTCAACAGGCTATATTCTACCAACCTTACCTGGTCGAATGCTTGCTGCATCATCAAGTGAACTGTCAGGTGCGAGGGCACAGTCATCGCCCAGCCCATTGCTACATTCGACAAATGCTGCCACTGCAAGCAACTTGCTGGTGCAACCTCTCACTGCCACCATTGTCTCTGAATCAGAGTAAGTTGCTAAATATGCATAGAATTAAAATATAATTTAGGGTTGAACATGTAATGTTGGGGAGCTGGGACAGTGTAGTCACTATAGCAACTGGCTATGGGCCGGATAATCGAGGGGTCAGAGTCTGAGACCTGGTAGAGTCAAATATTTTCCATGTCATCCAGATTGGCTCTGGAGTCCACCCAGCCTCATATCCAATGGTTACCGGGGGCTCTTTCCCCAAGGGTAAAGTGGCAGGGGCATGAAGCTGACCACTCACCTCCAACTAGTGCCAAGGTCAAGAAAATTTGGATCTATACATCCACTCCCCCATACATCTTCATGGTGTAGTGCTTAATTAATTAAGCACAGGGGCAACTTTAGCTTTTTACCTTACCATATAATGTTATGTTAATTGTGCCTTTATGTGCAAAGCACATTGTTTTTAGTGTGTTCACTGTCTTATCCTCAAATGGAGACTGCATATGTTTCCAGCATTTTGGTAATGATCTAGCAGAATGCATGATACCACATCTTGTTCAGTGTTCAACTGTAGTGCCCTGGGTTGTGATGCCATGTATAAATTTTCCCAGCTGATCAGTGAGTTGAAGTAAACAGTCACTCCTGTTTCCCTTTACTAAGAAACATTTCCATAAACTTGTGGAAGTCATGTTCCTACTAATTGTGGAAACATTGGTCTCCTTGTGTACAGAACTCTTTTTGGATATAATGCCCTGTACTTCCATACTTAGCTCATTCTGTTTTGTCCTTCTTGCTGAGTGCCCGCTGGTGATTTTGCTTCACAGACTTTAAGTCCATTACTTTCAAGAGACTGTGGAGAGTTGAAAGAGACAAATTTTGCAAATGACCATTACCGTTCACTCTAGCTAATATTTTATTCACAGTCAGAATTTCTTTCCAGAAAAAAAGTTAATACCGTTTTTACAGATGGCAGATTCCATAAAACTTGCATGTTTTTCACTCACCTCCTTTGGTTTCCAGATTTTGTTTGGAGTAACTAGGTTTCTCTCATTTCTCATTTCTTTTCTAGCAAGGTTTATGCTAGCCTTATGTGTCCTGTTCCATTGACCACTAAATCTTTCACTTCATCCAGTGTAATATGAGCATTATCTTTTCTAATTAACCCACACTGTTTGTCAGCACTAGTCACTGGCTTTCCTTTCTGTGTTTCACCACAGAAGGGTCTTCATCAACCACAGTTTTAAAATTAACACACATATTTATAACAAAAAGACAAAGAAAATAGACACTTAAAACTTCCTTCCCCCCAGTGCTCCAGCTCAGGGTGAGCTTTGGCCTCCTGAACAATCTGCTTCCATTCCTCTCTGTTCTTCACATTTCCTCCCCATCCTTTCACTTCCATTCATTTTATGGAGATCACCATGTATATCCCCCAACCATTTCAACCTGGGTCTTCCTATCTTCCTTTTTGTATATATTGTCATGTGTAGGAAGTTATGCGTGACAAAATAACAGGTTCTAGTTCGGATGATTGGATTTATTAACAGCTTGGTTACACTCAAATACTGGTGTGTTGCTGATTTACATGCACCTCATAATCCACTGTTGCACTCACACACTAGTCTTCTCCAGGTACTATATCTCAACACAGGAATTGGCACTTCAAATCAGTCCAGATATTGCACATGAGATCTTCAATCATCCTTTAAATCATCACAGATCTACAAACTCCCAATACTCTCCAAATACTCCATCCTCAATACTCAGTACTCCTGAATAGTGTTCACTGCTCCTTATATAGGCTCGGCACGGGCCATATAGAAAACACATTGGTGCTCGGCAACAGATATCAGGTATTGTTGTCAGGTGTATCTACCCATGCATTGCCTAGCAATGGACTCCCTACTGTTGCGTGACGTCACAGCCTAGCGGGGAGAAGCGTCGCATAGTAACATGGTGAGTGGGGATATGTGACGTCACTCACACTTCCTGTTGCGCTATCCAAGCGTTCACAGAGTGAAGGCATGTTGTGACATGTGTCACAACACATGACAATATTTTACCTTGTGACATCCTTTTTGGCATGTCCTTTTCATTCATTTCAACATGCCCTAACCACTGCAGTCTTTGGGCTTTAATGAATATAACTATATCTTCTCCTTTTATAATATACTCAAAAGTAACATATATAATACCTGAAGTAAACACTAACTTACATAATGTATAAACTAAACACAATAATTATAAGTTGTTCCTATTGTTTTGGCATGGAACAACAAGCAAAATGTGAAACTAATGAAAAATAGTTAACCACTGTCACGTGGGTATCACATGTCAGTGCAACCGACATTATAGACCTGTCTGAGCTCTGGATTTGCCGTTCCCACAACTTCAGCACTTCCCCATGTTGAGCAGACATTTTATAATAATTATGTATAAGTATGCTGAGCATAAGCCAACTGACATTGCATTTATTAACAGTAAATGCAACTGCTGTGAAGAATGCTGTCTTCTGGGATGTGACGCCATGTAGATCTTGTGTGAACTGACGTTTTGGAGGAACGTATCGCCTCCATCTTCAGGGTAGAAAAATCAGCAAGTTAGGAACCGACGTGAGCAGATGGAGTTGATATTTTGTTCCGAAACGTTGGTTCACACAAGATCTACATGGTGCCAAATCCCAGAAGACAGCATTCTTCATAGATACCGCTGTGAAAACCTCAACTCTTAGAAAATTACTGTCTTCTTGTTTGTTAGTTTTCTATAAATAGCTGTTATGATGAAAACCATTTATGCAATTCCTATATTAAGGTGTATAAACTTCTGTTATACATGATCTACCCTCCCTCACTAAATTGTTTACTTCATGTCTCAGATTGTGAGACAGATTGTAGCTTGGTGGATAGGTTGCAGTACCATCATTTCTGAGGAATCTTCTCTTCTTCCACCCAGAAGATGGAGCAGTAAGTTTTGTGTCATCAGACATTCTAGAGATGTGATTCCTAAACTTTTGTTCTGACAGCACACGTGTGTTCCATGTGCTGGGCCTTGGTGTTCCGCCATCAAAATTGAACAATGGCAGTCTTCCAGATTTCTCAGGAAAAAAAATAATTCAGTAGATGAAAGTTTCTCAATTTTATTTATTTCTTACGATTTCTTTTACATAAAAATTATATTTTTATATATTTTCTTTCTTTCTTTCTTTCTTTTTCTCTCTCTTTTTTCTTTTATTTTGTTCTTCTTCTTCTTCTTCTTCNCTTCTTCTCCTCCCCCCCCTTTTTTGCGCTAGGTGAGACTAAATAATGATTGCTGTTGTTCTTGTTGGTGGTGGTGTCATGATGACATAATCATTTGTGTCACTGCCTGATGATGGCGTATACTCAGAGATGTTTTAGACACATTTCACTTCCAGCCACCAGTTGGGTACAAGTTTATTTCCAGTCTTCTCTCACTTAATGACTTTTCATTAAGAAATTTCACATTGTGAATTAGACATCACATAATACCTGCTGTATACATATATGGACCTTTTTAGGCCCTTGTTTTCATAAGTTACAGTTATCTTAACCTGGCAGGTCACAAATTCAATTCCTGATGAGGTCATTGGATTTTTTAATTGAACCAATCCTTCCAGTGACACTATGGCCCTGGGGTCAACTCAGCCTTTAACAGAAATGAGTACCAGGAATCTTCCTGGGAGTAAAGGTGCAACCGTAGCATAAGGCTGACAGCCTCACTACCATCTGTGAGCCGATTGTCTAGAAAATGCGGGATCCTCGGCATCTCATGACCGTATGGGTCTTCATGGCCTGTTACAGGAATAGCTTTACCTTTTATTTTTTAAACCTTATATAATTCTAAGTTATGGAATTTGAATGAAGTCATAGCGTCCATTTGACAACTTCCAAACTGAGCAATAGATGTAAATTTCAATTATATTTAGTGGGAATGGGACTTGCATTTGTTCACTGTAAAGGCATATGAAATTTAATTTGCATGATATTTTTAAGAATTTTTCAATAACCTTCAGTTTTCTTCAGTATTAAATACTTCCTCTTCCTCCTCCTCTCCCTTCATTTCCTTTTTGTACAGGGCGATGGATGCAAAGAATCTAATCTCTTCTTGATGTCCTTTAACTGGCTAAACCACTTTGCTTTTGGTCTCCCATAGATTTCCATCCCTTAAACTTAAATTATAATGTCATTCTTGGTATTGTTGGTCTGTTTATTCTTTTTGTGATGCCAGACCATATCTTCTATCAAAAAAGTTGAACTCCTCTGAAATTTTTTTTCTAATCATGTCCATTTTTATTTTTCCCTCAGAACTTCCTTATGATTTCATTCATCTTACCCACTGCTTGGAAACAGCTTTTTTATATTGTTAAGAGCTTCATATTTTTGTGTTGTATGTCAGTATGCATTTAATATGTACTTTATAGATTGTTTGCATTTTGGGGGGGATCCCCCTGTTCCATAATATTCCTTTTATAATTTTATAACATTTATAACTATCCATTTCTTATGTTTTGACTATCAGGGTTTATCTGTAAGAAACATTACTCATTATCTGAGTTGTGTTTCACAATAAAACTTACTGTGAGCTGATGTTATGGGTTGAACTTAATTTGGTGTTGGGTCTGTTTAACTTATTTGGTACTTAGCTTCTTTAACACATGTATCAAGTTCGTGTAAATACTAATGATTAATTTCCTTCTCTTTTATTGGCCTCCATTGCTTTCTTCATGGTTTCTGCTTAGGGATGAGGTAAGTGTCTTTTAACATATTTTTTATTTGAGTTACCTACAATACAATTGCTATGGGAAGACGCATGCTTGTATGTGCTTCAGCATTCTATCTTTGCCACCCGCTCAGTGCACAGTGAGCTTGAAGCCATTATATATGTGTGTGTGTCAGACCTTAGGACCGCCTCTGTGGTCTAGTGGTCAGAGTTCCTGGCTACAGATCTAGAGGTCCTGGGTTCGATTCCTGGCGCTACCAGTTTTTCCAAGAAGTAATGGGTCTGGATTGGGCTCCACTCAGCCTTGTGAGGATAATTGAAGAGCTACCCAAATGGAAAAGTAGTGGCTCCAGTCTAGAAATCCAGTGGCACTAACTTGGCTGACAAGCTGCAGTCGCTTTGTCAGTATAGTTCGCTTTCAGACTAAAGGCCATGGAGTTTGTTTGTTTTTTGTTTTTGTTAGACCTTTTGGCACAAATAATGGCATATGACTGAGCAAGGGAGGAAGAGGCAAGGGGCAGTAGTAGTGTTGGTGCATCTCTCACTGTTACCAGACACTTTGCTGTGTGCAAAACCAGGCAGCAGACTAATATGCTTCATATCTTGACACATCATTTGATGAAATGGATTCATCATGCTGGTGACTCTTACAGAAGAATGAAATACTATTTTTTGAGTGTGTACCATCACTCAAACGGTGAACTCTAATAGCATGCTGAGGTCGGAACTCCTCTGTGTGACAGGTTTCTGTCTCACAGACTTACCACTGCTTCAGCGCATATCAGCCATCTTCCCAGAGCAGTCAGTATTGTGTATTAATTGCATGATGTTAGGCTTAACCTGCTCAGTATTCAGTACTAATTCATAGCATTTTTCTCTTGAATGCGCTGCCTATGTGTGAGAGTCTGCAAAACCTAATGTCAGTTTTTTTCCACAGACTAGGATGCATGGTAGTAAGAAAAATTGAAAGTCCTCACAGCAGGGTCTGTGAAAAGTACCACCTTCTGGGATGTGATGCAAATGGTCTGGTAGAAGTTCTCTTGTTTTTGATGACCATATCATCTCCATCTAAGAGGAAGCAAAGCATGCAGACAGGAAGCCATGTTACTCTGCTTACTTACTGACCTTGCTGATCCTTCAAAACATTCGTAACCTTCTGTGCTGACTATATAACATAACACAGAAGATAGTACTTTTTGTAGTTACCACTGTGAGAACCTGAAATCTCACATCTACATAGAAATTCTGTACTTCTTTTGCAGTGACAGTACACTTGTCACTCCTGGAAGTATGTTTTATTATCAGCTGGGGAAGGCCATAATAAAAGTATTCTGGTATTCTGTGTGGAAAGTGACTTAGTAGCCAAGGTCAGCCAATGCTGTTACTAACGCTGTGTTACCTCATGTGATACATATATAATTCTGGTGCATCTTTTTTGTTAAAACCGTAAGAACATAGGTACAGGCATACATTGGACATATTGCAGGTTCGGTTCCAGAGTACTATAGTAAAGCGAAGTCACACAAATTTTTTAGTTTCTCAGTGCACATAAAAGTTATATTTGCATTATACTGTAGTCTAATAGTGTGCAATATCATTAACAATATACAGTACATACGTTAATTAAAAATAATTTATTTCTTCCTTGCACTTGAACACTTAGAGGCCATTGGCCTAATTTCAGTAATGTTGTGTCACAGGGAATAGGTAGGCCTGAAGAGAGAGGGAGAGACGGGGGAATGGCTGGTCAGTGGAGCAGTCAGAACACACAACATTTATAGATTAAGTTTGCCGTCTTATATGGACGCGGTTTGTGGCGCCCCAAAACAATCAACAATTCTAACATCAAAGGTCACTGATCACAGATCACTGTAACAGGTGTAATAATATTGAAAATGTTTGAAAATTGCGAGAATTGCCAAAATGTGACACGGAGACATGAAGTGAGCACATACTGTTGGAAGAATGGCATGAATAGACTTGCTCGACGCAGGATTGCCACAAACATTCAGTTTCTAAAAACATGCAATATCTGCAAAGCCTAATAAAACAAGGTATGCCTGTAGTTGAGTATTCTGGAACAGAAGATAATCGTGCATAATGAGTACTGTTCTTGGGGATGTGATGCCGTGTTGTCTGGTAGAAGTTTATGAGTGTTTTGAAGGAATGTAGTCCTTCCTTCTTCAGTGTCAAAAATAAACTGCACAGTTGCTATTTGCTATTTGCTATCTTGTCTTACTCTTTGATACAGGAGACAGAGACCTCTCATTCCTCTGATATATTGGTAAACTATTGTCAGACTAAGGACTTTCATGGTTTTCCTTAGTCCCTCCAGGCAGATGCTTGGGTAGTGTCCTGATTAAACCATAGCATCTTCCTTCCAAATCCTTTCTGGTATATCCTATCTGCCAACACTGTAGCTTTGATACTGAAAGCGCTGTTGAGTAATCTCGAAAAATGTACAGTTTATTCATTCTCATTGTTTCTAACTGACCTCAGTTGACATCCATAAGAATAACATTGTCTTAGTAGTTGTAATCCCCGGTATTTGTTGGATCTATATGTATATGTATCTTTCATCTTATTTATGTTAATGAAGATGATATACAATGGCCTATCATTGATTTTATAATATTTACTTTTAGAACTTAACTCTGGTCTAGTCAGACAGTGATTTTGTGAGCTTTTGCCGTTACATTATGCATAACCATAGGGGCAAAGCCTAATGTATGTGTCGTTTTGAAATATTGGTCTTAACTCCTGCAGATGGTTTATCTTATTTGGTTTATATATCCTGCCCTGTGTTGGTTCTGGTGTCTGGAAGTAGGGACTAGCCATATTGATTGGTGCTTCCATCTGAGTTCAGAGACAGATTCCAATCTCTGAAACGTTGTTTTAAATTAAAAACATGAATGTTGTCCAGAAAGTCAGTAATTATAATGACATCATTGATTCATTATTTATTAGATATATAACATTGCTAGACCAAATGTGGCTTATAATCCCCAAAATAACCCATTACGCATTCCACTTGACTGAATACTGATTATGATCCTGGGTCTTTGCACTGTGTGAGTGCAGGCAGTGTTTCTGACATTTTGGCAGTAGATGCTGCCTCCATCCTCAGGTCTGAAGTGAGTAGGATGAGTCAGTGCTCATGAATATATAGATTTTGGTCCAACAGACCCTGTATCGAGGCACCAGCCCCTCCCCCCTTTGTGTCAGAGGCCTTTACCTCCAAAGAGCAGAATTATCATCAGCAATGAACTGCAGTCATAACCTAAAATCCATAATTACTGTAATTTTTTGTTTGAATTTAATCTGTTAATTAATTTTGCAGGAAAGATATGAATGAAACTCCAGTATGACCAGAGTGATGGCTTGAGACATGTGAACTGCAAGACATCTGTTAGAAGAGGATTTCTTCATTATGCTCAAGGTGGAGTAGAGGACAAGTGTGATTTGTTAATGTGAAAATCAGTATCTTTCAAACCAAATGCATGATACTCAGTTTTGCTAAATGTAAGTATATATCTCTCCTATATATTGTACTTAATTGTTAAAAATGTAACTCTTATTCTTTCACATTCCAAAGATACTAAATCATATAAGCACACACAACTTCATTTATTGAAAGATTTATGCAGTCAACAAGGAAGTTGATAACTGTATTTAAATTGCTGCCATATAAAAGAATATTTATTTTTAATGTGTACATACATACATGTATATATATACATATCTCAATGCAAGTAGTTGAATAGCAATGAACAGATTTATATATACTCAATTGAATTTTATTACATTACCTGGAATGTAACACAGTTTATAGTATTCAGAATGTGAAAATGCACACTTCAGAGAACATTACAGAATATCGTAATGTTCAATATATGGTTTAATCATTGTCCCACTATCTGTAACCTCTTGAGTTTGATCCCTTTGCCACTCGTTACTGCAACAGCTCTTGCTCACTGCACTCACCTCTTCTTTCATCTGCTGTGCACTGCACTGCACTGCACTGAACTCACCACCTTCCCGTCTGCTTATGTGCTGCACTGGACTGGACTGGACTGTACTGAACTGAACTGAACTGAACTGAACAAACTAGCTATTGCAAGAATTTCATAGCTACTTAATAGGCATGCTGACCTTTGGGAATATTCTAGGGAATTCTTACGAGACCTTGGCCTTTGACATCAGCTGAGTCATTCCCAGAATGTACCAAAATGTGGAAAGGTTAATATTATGACCAAAGAAGAGTTGAGCATGCTCTGGGCCAGGTGAAGCAACCACTTACTGACGCTTATCTCCTGCAGCAATGTATTGTGACCTGTTCTTTGTAAATTCAAAACAATATGTGACCAAATTTGAATGTATTAATGAAAAATAATTATTATTTTTTGGGGGAGGCTGTCATTAAAGCCTGCTGCTGCAAATCCCAAAATGTTACTGGTCTTTCCATGCTCGCTTAGGTCGTTCTAAGTCTTGTCGTCCATTCAGCTTATAGTGTAATGCCAGTTGAGGAGGATTGTGGGTATAAAGATCAAAGAATCTTATATGTACTCTTTGGTTTCATATGGACTGTTGATAAGAGGTAAGATTACTGTTTTCTCCTATACCAATGGCTGTCAAAGTTGCATGCAGAATGTTATGGAAAGCTAACCATTTCTTATTGGTTTGCTTTTAAATACAACTGTGTTTATAAATAAAAAATTGCCCTTGTACTTGTGACGGTTTTATTGATTATCAAATGTGAAATTTTCTGAATCTTCTTATTTCTGGCATGTGCATTTTCATAAGCTGATAAATAAATGTAGAATTTGTATATTTGTTTTCAAAATGGTGAGGTATGATAATTACATATTTCAGTTTAACTTATCTCAGCAAATGTGCTGTAAAAGATTAGTTCAAACTGATGGAGGCAACATGATATAATTCAGCTAAAGTTTAGCTACGACACTTCTCGACCAAATGCTCACTTGCACGAGATAGCGCTAAACCTGGAAGGTTCTAAGATCACCGTTTTCAGACTCCTGAAATTGGAATGTTGGCAGCATTCATGATTAATTTAGACAAAGAGATGATGTGACAATCATTAAGGACACAGTAGTCGTGAAGTGTTACATGAAAAAATTCCCAAAATGGAGGATTCTTTGTTTGTTCCTCTTTTGTCTCAAGGATGCTCACTTAAAACTGAGTTAAGCCACCTCAGTCCTGTACCTTTAGCAAAAATTTGTAATTAAGCAAAAAACCCTATTTGTAAAGGTTCGTGGAAATATGACAAGTGCCAATGGACCAGTGTTTCACAATGTTAGATTTTAGATGTGTGCAAGTCACAGAATTGTTTAGATAAAAATCCTGATTTTTTCCATCTCCAGGTTTTGAGTATTTTCAAATAACTGTGTTTTGACTCAACATCTTATTGGCTGGTAATGCCAGGAGGAGTCAACCTGACAGCAAAATTTGTCTCCATCTTTCTGCCCACACTGCATTTTCTCTATTTCTGTATGTGGTGTCTTGACTTGCCTTCTCTGACCTCCAGCTCATCACAGCATCACCAATGCAGTTTATAAGCAATGAGAGAAAAAGTGTTTAGTATTATACATTGTGATTACAGTGGAAAAAATAAGAACATTACAGTAGAGAAAATTCTGGCAGTCAGCTCAATTCTGAAAACTTCTCTCATATTCATCTCTTGTCTTGTACTGAAAAACTTATTTTTGCACCATTAAATTTGCTGTGGGCCAAATTCAGTTATATGTATTATATTTCAGTGAGAATCACTTATTGGGCATGTGAAAATAGCTGATGACTCACTTGATGAAGTATGCTGCATCGAAATTCCTGCAGATGTCATTGTCATGTATGCTGCATGAACATAGCTCATGAAGTAATCACTGGAGTTCCCAAGCTTTTTAAAAGAACTTAGAGGTCCTTAATGGCTGTATTTTCATTGTGAGCTGAAAGATCATGTTAGATGTATTCTTTTTTCCTGTCCTTAGAACTATATTAATGAGCATTATGTTTCACAGAAAACCAAGAGAATTCATTCCATTATCACATTCTGATTGCTGCAAGGCATCTATTTGTTTAGGCTAGAGTATTATTTGCGCATATGTGAGTTCTTTATCATTAAATTATATATCTTTTTATTTTACTTCAGTGCATGATGTTTTTTATTGCAGTGGACTGCAAATATTTGTTTTAAAATAAATAACATCACTTCACTCAGGTATCTTTAATTGAATATTTTCTTTGAAAATAAGTAATGAATATATATGTGACAGTGCAGTATAAATTTATATTAATAACTGCCATAAGATATTGCTAGATTGATATTTTTAAAGTGTATTATGTGTGTGTGGGTGTCACTCTTGTATTTATACTTCTGTTGCCATCATTTTAATGTTTAGAGTAAGGTTAACTGATACTGAAGTTAACATACTGTACTGTGGTTCAACATGGTTTTGACATAGAACTATAGCATAGCAGTGATATTTGTGTTAATGGTTGCTGCATTGTACAGATATGTTTGACGCTGTCTGTTGTCTGGGATATTTTTGATATATCACACACTGTTCCAGAAACTGGATCCCTTTGTGTCATGAAGTGTAAGGGGGAACAGGATCCTACTGCTCTCAGAGAGATCGTTTCAATCACTGGACCAATAGCATTGTAATGAACAGTTCTGATGGGAAAAAGAAAACAGAGACAAATAAATGATTGCAAGACATACCTGCAATTGTGGGTGAAATAATAACATATGCAGTCTGGATTGGAAACATAATGTACAGGGTTTAACACACACACTAGTACATTGATCCCTGTTAAGGCCAAATGGAAAAATCTGTAAATTTATTGTTAATATTCTCTGCTGCTTTTTTTTTTTTTGTTTCTCCACAGATGTTGATCAGTAAAAAAACATTGTATACACATGGATACAATCAGGATATGTTCCAGAAGGGAACAGTAATTAACTTTGCTTACAGATTCATGTTTAAGTCACTATTTTACTGATTGCTCTACAGTAATCAGGATTTTTTTTTCAGTTCTGATTTTTCTCAGAAAATCAAGGGGTAAAGTCAGATGGCTACCTGCCACCACCACCACTCCCTGCTACTACCCATGTGCATGCACATTATATGCAATAAGGGACAGTATTTTATACATTCTGTATGTTATGTGATGGGAAGTAGGCTGATGTGGGGCATTTACAGTGGCATGGGTAGGTGTAGTTTGTCTTGTGTGGAAATGTCTGGCAAGCAGAATGTTTGTTTTACAGTGAACTGAGTCAACATATGTTGACCCCTAATAATGTATAATAGTGAGATGTTTGTTGCACATGAGAACTATGATATGAACAAGTGTGGTTGTATGTACAGATAATTCAATTGTACTTCTGGTGTTAGTAATTAAGTAATATTGTATTGAGAGTTACGGAAAGAAATGTGTCTTACAGTCATGAAAATATTGACATTTTAAAGTTAAAAATTTTCATTATGAAAATTCCTAAATATTATGTACTTATAATTTATGATATTATTTAAGTCATTGTAAATGCAAACGTTTCATCCATAGTTATTAGGAAATTTATTTTATTTGATTGGTATATGATAAGCTTTGTAAAGTAATTGACTTTAAAGCCGGTGTTCTCTGCTTGAATGTCAGAACTATAGCTCATTATAAGCTTTAAGTTGCTTTCTGCTTCTTTTGAGCCACTTCATGGAAGAATAGTCCATTTATTCAGGAATTCATTAGATATTAGATGTGTGTTTTTCATGTGGCTTACTTGTGGTTACAGTATTCTGAATTTCTGTGTGCAGAAGTCATCAGATTCCGAATTATTACACTGTTCTGCACCTACAGCAGGACAGCTGAAGTTGCAACTTAACTTAGTGGGAAACATATAAGCAATGTCTATGCCTGCCTTGAATTTTAAGATTCTTAAAAATGACCACACCTAAGAATATTAATTTATTTTGAACCTGTGGAAAAATATATTTTGTACAAATGAAGTGGGAATGGTTGTGATCTGATTAGTATATAGATTTGTCCCATTTGCTAATCTGTCAGAGTTTCTGGTATGTTTCATATTGCTTAGTCAGAGATGGACTGAATATTTTAGAGTGCAACAGAAAAGGGTATGGTATTTGTGAATTTATAGTACAGTCATATCTTGATCTATGGCTTTCTCCCTTCAAATCCCATTAAATTAACATCTTTTAGACTTAGGCTAAAATTTGCTGTTTTCTTCTGTTTTCTTTTTCTTTCAAGTCAGTCTATGAGTCACTGAGTCAGTGGTCACTCACTTTCATTATGCCTGTCTAGAGACTTTATTTTCTAATAAACTGTAATAGAATTGTAGCATTACGGGGGTTAAAATGTAGAAGAATGGGTCTGAGTCTTGAGCCCCAGAGACATAACCCTACACATCCCATGTGTACCTATTTTCAGAAATTTGTCAAGTCATTAAGTCCAAGGTATGGCTGTACTTTTAAGTAATTATTTTATGAGAATTGAAGTTCTCCCTGCAGTGAATATTAATATTATGATCTCCTGGAATATAATGCTATGTAGTCAGTTGACAGATGTCAGAATTTTGGAGGAACCACTCCCTCCTTCAGAGTAGAAAAATGTCTTCCTACATTGCATTAGTTGCCAGAAAATTATAGTTTTAACCATTATCATAAATCAATTATGAACTCTGTATCATTCGTCTAAAAATTTTAATTATATTAATTGCATTGGATGAGTTTGAATTATGGAGTGTGGTTTAATCTGATGCATGTAATTGCGCGAGATGTGTGTGTTGCCTGCATCAGGTGACAAATAAAATTGTGTTTCTTCTGGGTTGTGACAGTACATAGTCTCCGCAGGTGCTACCAGTGTTTCAGAGAAACATGCTGATGGGATGGTAGATGCGGAGCCTACATCACATGTGTTTAGCAGATTGAAAAGTCTACAGAATTTTTTCTTCATCCAGAGTGAAAAATTGGGCTCCAAAGCTATATATGATAATGTGCAAAGTTACTTACTATGCTTCATAATCTGGAGTTCACTGGTTTGAATCTCTGCCAGAATGACAAATTTAACTCCATACCTCCAGAAAAATTCCAGGTTAGAACTTAAAATTTGTCATGATCACTACCTGGTGCATCTTTCACATTTTGTTATCACAATTTTATTTCTCAGTTGAAGGTATAATGACCCTTGTAGCTTTTACCTTAGCAAATCAGTAAAAATAGAAATGGAAACTTGAGAGAATAATATGTGTACAAAAATAAAAAGAGAAGGCCTCTGGTAAAGAATTTTCTATCAGAGTCCTTCTGAATGTATGTGAACATGATATGCAGAAGTAATAACAGCTGAACATCACACTGTACCAGGATTCATATCTCGTTATCATTTGGCAAGAACGAAAAAGGAGTTGCCAACACATCCTTGTGCATATGTGCATATAGCAGAATCAGTGTTAGGAAACTGATATCATCATTGCCTTCAGTGTGCAAGTTACTATTTGAAGTGACAAGTTGAGTTGTATCGCAAGCTCATCATATCACCATGGTGCCATAGGTAGCATTCTGTGTGAGACCTCTACGTGCAGTCACAACTCAGACTACAGTCTGAATAATTGGCACCATGAACATTTCAATTCAGTTCAATTCTATTCAATTCTATATTATTAATGTGCCGAGTCAACAGCCGCAAGGCCAATTACAGACACAACAGAGTGCAGATGAATGAATTACATTATAGACAAACTTATTAAAAGTCAAATACAAATTTGTTAGCACAAATAATAATTGGTTATACTATATGACTAAAACATCTCTAAAATTAATTGCTTTGGTTTTAAACTTGAAAACAATATTTTTGACTAAATCACAAAGCTGAAAATTATAGCTCTTCATAAACGTTTCCAATTATTGGTAAGATGGAAAACATCATAATAAGTGTGAAGACTTGGGTATTTGCTTCCCGCCTGTTCTCAAGGCTTTCCTAATAATCAGCAATGTTCATATTTTGTTTCCACAAATTCTATCGTTAACCTTGCCTTCACATGTCTAAAATATACCTCACAAGTTTTTTTTTGTTTATTAGAAACTTGTTTCTCAGCCCATTGAATGTTTTAATTTTAATGTTTTAAAGTACTCTTAATTTTCTTCTTTCCTTTATAATGGCCAGTGTACATTATTTTATTTTCACCATCAGTGTTAGTCTGTCTACTAGAGAAAGGTTATTCACGTGGTTATGTTAAGTGTGTATCAGTAATGAAAATTTTATGTGGTACTTTCACTGTTTTCATCTTTTGATCACTTTATTTTAACCCTTTCACTGCTGATTAACTAGTGCCCAGCCATACCCACCTATGCTGCCTCATTTTTGCAATTTGTCTTCAGAATTAAAATCAAGAGAAAATGTTTCCTTTAAATTATTATTTTGGAATTCATCCATTATATTAATTTGTATGTTTTTGAAAGTGGTTCTGTTTCCATCTTCAGGTGAACAGAATGTAAGAGAAAGCATATTCTCTTGGGGCTCATGGTAGAGCTGCTCTCAAGCTGTGAAAAGCCCAACAGATTAGGGTCTTTTTTTAATATCCTTCTCATATGAAGATCAAAATATTAGTACAATGTTTCACCTGAGGTTCTCACAGAACTGTCTATGAAGAGCACTGTCTTCTGGGTTGTAATGTTGCATAATTTGTAGAAGTCTATTGATATTTCAGAGGCATATATTGCATCCCTCTTCGTGGTCAAAGATTAAACCAAGCACAAAACCAGCTAGAGGCAGGCAGCTGCCTCTCAGATAGAGCACCAAGATTAACATTATTTTTAAATGAGAATGCGTTGTGCATGGTGTGTTTGTCTTGGGCACATTGTATTTTCAGATCTGGAATGTTGGTACAACGTTCCATCTCACTGTGTCATATGTGATTATCATAATTATCATAATTTGAATGATGTTCCAAAGCATTTCATTGTGATACTCAAAATGTAAACATATTGACTACAATTCCCATTAAGGTGTAGATCAAGATTAATTTTGTCAGGTTTCTGTAAAAAAAAAAGGTAAAGCTATCCCTATAACAGGCTGTGAGGCCTAGGGTTGTGAGATGTTGATGCTCCCACATTTTCTTTAGACCAGTGGTTCTCAACGTTTGTGAGACTGAGGCCTGGTAAATTCTTTTTTATAAGACGATTGCTCGGTACCGGGCCACAGTCCCGTGGTTGAGAAACACTGCTCTAGACAGTCTGCTCACAGATGGTGGTAAGGTTGTCAGCCTTACATGCCAGCAGCCCGTTACCCCTCAGAATGATTCCTGGTACTCATTTCTGTTAAGAGGCTGAGCCAACTCCAGGGCCATAGTGCAGCTGATAGGATTAGGTTGGCTATCTTTTCTGCTCCTAAAGTTTATTCTGTCTTTGGAACAAATCACTGCAATGTTCTTGACATTACTATACTTACTTCTGTGTGCGTTGAGATAGCTCAGTTAGTACAGTGACTAGCGTATGGACTAGGCCCAAGTGTGAACTGACAACTCACTTCCATCTAATGTCAGTGTTTAGGTTGCCTGCTGCCTGCTTCTATTGGTTTCTTGCTTGGCTTATTTTTCAGCCCTGAAGATGGAGGCCATATATATTGTCGTGTGTTTGCTAGACAAGGAATTTTGTGGGTTTCTGATTTCAACGAATATTTATTGGATTATCGCTTTTTACACTCACACGTACTGTTATTCACAGCTTATAACGTCTTCAGATGTTTCCTCTTCAGTGTTATGACACTCGCACCACTATTCTCGGTGAACTGTCTTCTGTTCTAGTCAGATGAGAACTCTTCTATTCTCTTGCCGAATACCAGCTCTACTCTTCTAAGGTCAAATACAAACTGAATTAGTCTCTTGTAGCAGTTGGACTCTTATAACGTGGACTCGGACTCAATAGGGAATACCATGTCAAAGGGTTAGCCTCGTCTGCTGCTGTGCGAAAGCTGCTTCAAAGAATTCACTTGTAATGGTGGAAACTCCACTGTTAGATTGCTAGCCATTGTATAGCAATGGCTGCATTCTGATTCCTAGCTGCTGTCATGGGAACGTTGGTCGTTGCCTAGGAAATCAACCCTGATTTTCTCAACCATTCGGTCTTTCTGGCGGCACACCACAATATATATACACAAAACATTGGGTTCTCTCCGAATTACACTGCATTACAACACAGAAAACCATATTCCTCAGTCACTTCTGTGAGATTCGCAAATGTGACAGAGACAATTCTTGTTTTGACAGTTGTTATTTAAACATCATTGAGTATTCTCTGGTCCCATCTGTATATAGTGAACACATCTTTCTATTTGTTTTTATTATTATTTTTTAGGCTGGTGTGTAGGGGCTTGCTGACCAAAAATATATATAATCTGATACAATAACATGAACATACACCATATTGAATATAAGTGAATGACATTTCCATGGCAGGCCATCATTGGTCACCTACCCAGTGTGTTGTATCATTATGCAAACTTCTGGAGTGCCTGCTTCTAAAAGGGAAAAAGTTGTCTTACTCAGTTTGGTTAGTGAAGTGAATAAAAATGTGCCTATAATTTTTGTTATGCAAAGCAAATATGCAATCAGGCCTTATTGTATGTACATAATATATGTTTTTTCATAACTTTTCATGAAGTAAGTGTTAACCATACATTACCCAGTGCCATGCAGAGCAGCGCTTGTGCAATGTGGAGCAAACTGAACTGTATTGATGGCAATAGTTGATGAAGAGATGAGTTGTATTAAAGAAACTAGAGACTCTTAGTTTCTTATCATATATATCTACAGAAGAGAAGTGGAGGTGTTGTATTAGTGTTTCATGTATTTCCTCTCATTTTATGTGATCATTCTGGTAGAAAACATTATACATATTATTTGTATGTTTGATTATTCAGTAATGGTATCCAACTTAATTAAAGGCAGTGTTTTTTATAAGTTTTATGGAGACATATATCTTTCCATTATCTGTTACTCATATATGTAGGTGGTAAACATTACCGTATTTCAGATGGTGGTGTCCTGGGTAGTGACACCATGTATTTGTAGTACTGTAAGTGGATCCCAGTGTTTTGCAGGAACACACTACCTCAGTCTTTAGGGTTGAAGTGATTGTGGTGGGAGCACAAGGAGAGAGAAAGTTTAACTTGATCTCGGCCTATAGAAATGGTGAACAGATCGTGTAAGATAAAACAGCCTTTTTTAAGGATCTGAAAGTTACATTGCAGGAGGGACAGAAAGGCAGCATATTCTTCAAGGATACTGGTATTCACATACAATGCTGCATGTTGTTGCAACCCACAAGAGCACATAACCTGAAAAAAAAGAAATGCTATGAAAAACTTACTTTGTTATATTTGCTGATTTGTTTCATATAGTCATGAAATACTGAGATAGGAGAATAATTTAGGTGTACTGCAGCAGAAATTTAAATGTTGGAAACATGAGGACCAGTTCTGTGTAAGCATTGACTTATCTGACTTTCTGATGACTTTTTTTGGTTACAGTTAAAGTAAGTGTTGTTATCTTTGTGGAGACAGTCATTTGTAGGTGTAAGCTACTGTAGTTTGTTCAAAGCCACAAGCTCCACAATAGATTTAGCTGCAGAGTCTACCAACATGATTCTTCTTTGTGTTCTCCTCCCCCTAACATTATTTCTATTTTATATGGGTTGATGGACAAAGGTCTCAGGTTTTCCCACAGTCTTTCCTTTTGGTTCTTTGCTAGCGCTTTCCTCCATTTTGTGTCTTGCAGGGTCTGCCATGTTGTCTTGTTCCGTCATCTCGTAGGTCTCTTTTCTTCAAATTTTATTTGTAATAGCCTCTGTGATATCTTTGTTTTACCCATATTTGTACATGGCCAAACAGTTGAATTTTTTTTCTCTTCTGTTAACACATTTTGAATTCCAACTTCTCACAATTTCATTTCAACTTTATCCATTCTTATTTTCTCTTCAGAAATTTTGTATCTGTTGCTTGAATTTAACTTTGTTTCTGTTTGTAAGGGTCCAACTTTCAGCTCTAAATATTAGATCATTTTGTGGGCTATAGAACTACAAATGTGAAACAACCACTGCTGTGGTTGCTGGGTCATCTGATTTATTTTAATTTATTAATTGCAATCTATATGAATGCAGTCTTGCTTAAATTTGGATTTTTCAATATTTTTCTGGTCTATAAGAAAACTATTATGTAATATCCACATCATTAATTCATATTACACTTCTCTCATCATCATTTTATTTTGCCTCTCTGATCAGTCACTTATATTGCACTGTTTGGCACTGTTTTTGAACTGTACTTAGGTGTGTGATGAAGAAGCTTTTCATATTTTTCAGTGTAAAAGCATATATTATTAAAGACTTGATCTCAAGCATACATCTGTGGAAGCTTGATCGATTATGTAAGTGTTTTATACAATATTTTTTTACGTTGTATTCTTAATTTGTCATCCAAGCCATTTATTGAAATGTTTTTATACTATCATTTGTCATTTGTAAATATGACGCTATACATTTATGTGTCGAATTTCATTATTTTCATTGACCTACTTCCATTCAATTCCTTATATCCCACTGTATATGTTATTTCTTCATTTAATTTGAATTAGAGTTTTGAGAACTAGCTTTTAGAAATATAGGAAACAAGACCAGAGAATATTTTGGTCTTCCTTGACCACAT